TTTGAAGTTGGCTATATATTGGTGTTACAATAAAGAATTCTCGAGTAGCCAATCGGTGTTTTGGTTTTGCGACCGTTATTACTAGGCGTTTCTGAGAAAGTGTAAGGAACAGCGTGAGTCCCAGCGTAGCAAGAGCTGTGCATTGACGGTTTACGAGACGTGACTGGCAGCGTGTGAGGGACTTATTAAAAGTGTCAACGTTAAGAGATGGGACAGAAGTACATCGCTTACCGCTAGTAATTTCTTTGAAAAATTTCTACAAATTAGAAGGGGTTTTACATGACAAAAATCTTTGATTATATAAAACATTTAATCTTTTCATTTCGACTTTTATCAGAATATTTAATTTTTTACACCTGACTTATCATTTGTTTTGAACAACATTCTTTATCTCTACATAACTTTTTGCGATATGAAAAAGAGAAGCGGTCAAATCAAATGAATAATGTTTCTTAAGGACAACATATTTCGAAACAGAATTTAAGAAAATCGGTAGTGTTTGTGATTGTTTCATCTAATGTTTGTTCTGTAAATAGGTCCAAGCTAGTGTCTTTCAACATGCATCTGAGCTTGTCTAGGTTGTCTTGTGAGCAGCATCTCTGCTGAACTCTACTGTAGATGTGGGAGAGGACGCCTTTGTGTGATTTGGAATATATTTTAGGCAGTACACGTATGATGCAGTGGTCAGAGTTAAGTAAAGCAGCACGTTTGCGAGCTTCATATATACCAACATCATTAATGAATACTAGATCCAGTGTTTTACCAAGACGGGTAGCAAAGTTAACAATATTGTCATGACCAAGTGATATAAGGAAGGAGTGATCGCATGAATTAAAATCACCAGTTACTATTGATAGAGAGTTCTCGAAGCAAGCTGCAGCAAAAGCAGTGAATTCATCAGCGAACATAGATAAATCCGATATGGTAGAGCCAGGAAAGACATAAACATTAGAAATATAAATGAATTTGTATTTTGACAGTCTAACTACATATGTAAACAACTGAATAACCAGTCGGCATCCCAACGGAAATTTTGAAAGAGTTTTATCAAGCTCTACCATGAATATAAAATTCAAATTTGATGACACACTTTATAGACAAGTGGACGGAGTGGCGATGGATTTCTCACTGGGTCCCATTCTGGTAGACATCTTTCCACGTAAACTAGAAAATGAACCTTTGGAAAACCTTATCGAAAAATTCTCATTTTATTGCCGGTATATGGGCGACACCTTTATTCTTCGTGATAATGATTCGAATAGGAACACAAAAATGGTTTACCACTTCGACTAGTATTGGATATGTAAAATTCACCAAAACATGGCCAAATGTTTATTCAAACTCTTGCAAAATTTGTTACATACCCTGTTGAAGACTGAGCAGACGAATTTGACGAAATAATCCAGAATCAACATTTCTACTTCACAGTGGGTTTCTGCTGCAATCTCAGTTGTGATGGTACTGTGTCACTGAGATTTAACTTGACGAATATCTGATCTATGGCTTCACTGTCTCTCCAAGAACTAAATTTTATTGCTTTTTTGCTTGACACGTCCTACGGAAACTCAGTCTCTTTATTTATCAGACGGTTGTGCTTCTGTTTTGCAAAGCCCGCACATCCCAGTGTTACATTCAAAATGGTGCCATTAGTGGGAAAATATTTTAAAATCTGAGTGAACCACAGAGGGGAGGCCATCCTAATTCAAAAAGTGGACAGATGAAAAAATGACAGCCATTAATGCGAAATTCAAAGTATGCGGTCAGCATTGTTTGTGGACGTTCAAAATGAGGTCGTAAAGTATGAAAACTACTGAAGAAAGGTATGGGTACCAGGATGTTTGAAAATATAAAAGGGAACACGCTAACCAAACAACAGCGGTCGGTGTTGTTCACACCGTATAGATGAAAAGTCTATATTGGTAGATTAGCTATTTAAGCTGGATGAAATGTGACAACAATATCATTCACAGAGTATCTACAGGAGTTTGCTCCAGAAGGTGCAATTCTTACACTGCTCAACCATTTGAGCAGTTTTGTGTCTAACCTCAGTTTATATATCACTTCCTTGAAGAGTTTCACAGTTTCTTAAAACCCAGACACTGCTGAACACTCTTTGGGTTAAAAATCAGAGCACAAACCAGAACAAGATAGGAAGATGTCAAGGCAAGCGTAAAAGTATTGTATCTATGGAAAAGATATACAAACAACTAATCCAAGTGTTCGCTCTTAAACTAACAAGAGACTAAAAAATATGATGGCTACTGCATAATTATACATGTTCAGAGAATTTTTTCCCAACTTAACTCGACGGACTCGAGGATTTCATGTTTTCCAAAGTGGTTTTTCTTTCTACACTAGTAGGCAATGTGGCGTCAGATACCCCAAAACACTTTGAGGTTGTGAAGCTTATCGTCAGCTGCCTGTATAGCAATGTTAGAGGGTTGAGATGGAAGATAGGTGGGTTCAGAAATCTCCAATCACACCTACACCTTTAAATAATAATCCTGACTGGGACATGGCTAATCCCCACTATCATCGACAAGGAAATCGGTGTAAGCGGCATGGTTTTGGTCAAGAAAGACGGGGATAGCAAGAACAGGGGAGGAGTTGCCATATACTTTGACAAGCAACTTAAATGCATACGTGCAATGTACCCACCACTCACTGAACTCCCAGACTCTATATGGTTTCATTTCACAGTAGGCAACACAAGGCATCTACTGGGTGGCATCTACCGATCACCCAACTGTGGAGCAGAGCGCAACCAGCTACCGCTCAGCGCCATCACAGGGATACGATACTTGGGCTATGACTGTAGCTGAGGATTCCAGTGCCATATCCCTTAGCATAGACTTGAAATATGCTAAGGGAAATTCAGTCGAAGTCTACTATAAATCACTAGAAATATAGGACTGATTGAGAATACTGGAGATGACATTAGGTGGGGCTTCATTGGAAAGTCATCGAAACTAGATCATATTCTAACTAGTGACCAACTACTTGTCGAAAATGTCCAGATCATAACCCCAGAAAGAAGTGACTACGCGGCCATAGGATTCGATTTTTCTCTCTTTGATCGCCTTCAGGGGGACGCTACGCAGCCATGTCTGTGCTATACCAATGATGACTATGCCAGAATGCAAAGGCTTTTGTCCGACACAGAATGGCCCATAAAACACGCTGTGGATGAACACTGGGAAATGGTAAAAGAAAGTGTTCACACACCAATCTTGGATACCGCCCTCTTGGTCACAACTCAGCCGAAGAAAGGTCCTCATGCCTGAAAAGATGTAGGCAACGTATTATACAAGCAGAGCGGAAGACTTGACCTTTGTGGCGAATATCCAAGGGTCAGACCGATCACAATGCATACCTGGGACTCAGGAACCGGTGCAACACAAGAGCGGGAAGTGATGGTAGGTTATTTCAGGCTTAACTTGCCAAAATCTCCTGGCGAACCCCTAAAGCCTGTACCGATTCATTTAGAAGAGAAAACCAACCAACCAAAGAGGCATGCTCCTTAGTAGGTCCAAACGGTCAATACCTCACTAGTCTGGAAATGGCTTTAATATTCAGTTTATCCTTTGCCAAACAGTTAAACAGCAATGTGGGCATTACCAGTATGGACCAAACTGGCTGAACTACTACTTCATCGGAGGAAACCCCAGTGGCTACTTTCCAAATAAACCCAACAATATTACTAGGGAAGTTGAGTAGTGAAAATACGAACCTGTAGGCCACAGAACGCTAGTTATACCCTGTGCGGGGAAAGCTTGTCCTGCACAACGTTGGAGCATGACTTACGTCTAGTTCTAACGGGAAAATGGACACAGGTATGAATTACACAGGGGATACAGCGATGGTATATTCGATTATACACTTTATACATGGTCAGTTAGGTGAACTTACTAGTGGGCTCTTTCTAAGTTTATACAAAGCATACGTCACACCATACTTGAAGTGCACAATACCACTGTACTCCCATTGCTTAGGAGAGACACTAACCTCTTGGGAAGAGTCCAAAGACAGACGACAAAAGGATTTACGGGTCCCCCAAGAAACCGTATGATGTACGGCCTAAGAAGTTAGGCCTCTTCACACTCAGCTACTGTCGGCCTTGGTGGGACTTGATTACTTCCTGTAAGATAACAAATGACCACAAATACCCGAACAAATTTGTTCTGCCATTAAGTACGTATGGGCCTGAGGGTCTCGAAGAAAGCTAAGACTCGACAGCGTCCCCACTTATTTTCGCTGCAAGTTTGGTGTAAACTAGCTTGTGGTAAAACGAAATTGGATACTGAGACTTAGGCATACTCAGCTCCTATACGAATTGTAAATGTGGTGACAGTTCAGACAACGCAGCACTTAAAAACGAAATGAAGTTCAAATTAAAAAGGCAGGCATGAGAAATCATGTCATAGTGATACTAGCCGAAACGAAGTGGGAAACATTTACAGCCAGATAGGTACAGGGAATCAATTGTGAAATAGTCTTGAAAAGAGGTAAGTAGAGATGCAACAGGACGCAACTTGTCTATTTTAGTGACATTTGAATCATATATTATATAGAAGTAATAAGAGTATTAGTTATTTTCAAGCATAGGTTTTGCAGGGATTTTGTTTGGTTGATTGGAGCATTTCGTCATCTAACTAATATCAGTTCATGATAAAATCCACCAAAGAGTATCAGTTATATCAGTCTGAATGGAGTATTAGTCTCCTCACTCTCACATTATTTCCAGAATCATATATACCACCAACTACCTAATTTAAAGGTAATTTATATGTGCATTAATAGCTGTCCGAAAGAATTCAATATACCTCAAGCCCTTTGTCTTGAAAGCGAAACTGTTGCTCATTGTTTAAACTACTCAAGAGTGATTATTGAGATGCGCAGATTTTTGAAATCTAATGTTCGCACTTTTTTAACGTGTTTTTTACCATTGGGACATAATGTGACGTTCCGGATGATTTTTATTGTGTTATAAGGATATTAAAATGTGGGTGGACGGCAATTTTATCAAATATCTCCGTCACATAAAAATTTCTGCCATCCAATGCATAATAATTCTCGTATTGCATTTCTGCCAAATTATTTACTCGGAACTTTCTACATTCTCTCCGGTGTCGTCTGAAGATTCCCACGTTCCATTCAAATTCACTTCCTCATATTATGAAACAATTCTAGTTGATGATGGGAGCTTGTACCAACATGTAATTCCAACTAGTGCACATATGGGAGTTCCCGAGCCGTTCAGTGGGAATCCCTCTGGTGATGTCATATTTTCTATTGTTGAAGCTGATTCTCAGGATTTATTTCAAGCTACTTGCGAAAAGATAGGAAAGTTCTTCTTTTTTCATCTGTCTGTCTCGTTTGACAAACCTACAAGTCATAAAAAACGCAGCTACCACTTAAAAATTAAAGCAGTTTTTACATCTCACACCAATGCATCAGCCAAACCAATTCGTTTAACCAATACTACGGAAGTTGTTGTAAATGTACTTGATATGCACGCAAATTGCCCTATTTTTTCCAGGAGTTTATATCATTTTGTAGTCCCTGACAATATCAGTATTCGCGAGTCTGTCGGTAAATTATCGGCTAGTATATCAGGTTCTAATTTAAATGCTGAGAATTTGTTGTATGTGGACCCATCAGAACTTTCGATTCCTTTCCGAGTCGATATGTACTCAGGTCATATATTTCCCACTCGTCCCTTGAAAAGTTATTATACTAATACTGGATACCTAAGAAATTCACATATAGGATCAGAATTTGACGTTTTCGATGTGTCCAACTATTCTTTTAATGTCTACGCTGCAAGTCGTGGTGGCATTGATGGTTCAAACTGCAATATGGTCAGTATTACCACTGTTGAAATAAAAGTTGCTAAATCTAAGTTTTCAGACCTAGTGATAAAGGTTCAACCGTTTGAGGAAATTAAAAATCCAGGTATGGCTGGTGTTGCTTATGCTCGTGTTCATGTGATTAATCCTCATCCATCCATCGACTCATTAATCATACTCAAGATTTTAGAACCAGATATGAGAGAGAGGTTTGAGCTTGTGCCAACACATGAGACAAATAAATGGTTACTCCAAACGAAATATAACATCCACTATGTTTCATTAAACTCTTTGATAGCTTTTACCCTGGAGGCTTACAAAGTTCCTGTTACAATTTCTAATGCAGATGACAGTACTATATCAAATCATGTTTCACACTTAAAAATCAGCATCCCAATGGTTTCTAAGTCTAAATATAAATTATCTTTGCCTCCAGAAATAAGAATGCGCGTATCGGAAGTTGCTATTATAAACTCGACTATAGGAATTTTGATGCCTTACACACTTTTTAATATGACCAATACCAGCTTTGTTTTTACGGACCTTCGTAGTCAGAATGAGAAATCAAAGTCAGGTGAGAAGATTAGATTGACCAAGAGTGGGTCTCTCGTTGTTGTACAATCACTTGACTTGGAGAATGATGTCAATGATCAAAAGTCACCAAGAATTACAGGAAGCAACATAATCACCATTCCTTTCACTGTTGTAGACGGCAATAATTTGTTACTAAGTAGTGCTGCGGAATCACGTGTGGTCATTGAAATTTTCGACATTAATGACATGGATCCTGTTGTACAGAATAATGGGTCAATAGTTGAAGTGCCAGAAAACGCTTCTGTAAACTCCTCTGTCTTGTCCATTGTAGCACATGATCCGGATAAGTCACACACAGATCTGTCGTATATCTTGTATGACGCTGAATTCTTACCATTTTCTTTGTCTGGTCTTCATCATAATAAGCTAATAATATCAAAACCTTTGGATGCGGAAACTATGCCGTCCGAGTTCACAGTACGCGTGAAAGTAACGGATTCCGGAATTCCACTACCACGTAGTGTTCTTGCTGTTTTTGTCATTCGAATATTAGACATTAATGAACACTCTCCAGTTTTTGTAGAGGATTCTTGTGAAATATCTCTACCTGTCACTGACGAAGGTTCACTTCTTATTCACACTGGTTCGTCTTCACCAAGCCTGAATATAGGTCGGTATTTTGCTGAAGATTTAGATCGTGATGGTCAGAGTTCTATTACAATACATATCGCTTCAAGCAGTTTTTCAAGACCATGTTTTAAAGTTGATGAACAAACAGGAGATTTGAGTGTTATCTGTACATACTTAGGATCTCCAGCAAATCCAATTATTCTCAATTTATTAGCTTCAGATGGCACAAAGGCTTCTAAGAAATCATGCACTTTGTCATTAAATTTAGTGCCTATCCAAGAATTAGCTGGCGCTAATTTTACAAGGCGTTGCAAGTCATCTAACATATATGATGAGTTACAAGCATTGAAGGTTCAAAAAAGAAGGTTTGAATTTTTATTGAGTCAGGATACTCCTTATGAAATTCAAATCAATCGTCATCGACCGCAGTTTCCAACAGATCTGCCAACTCGTATACATATTCTTGAAAATCTTCCCATTGGTACAGTTATTTTAAAGTTTGCAGCCTCAGATGAAGATGGTGCAGATTATTCAATGGCTGGGCAGATTATTTATGGATTAGAAGCCTTAAGATCAGTTGCTTCTGAAACTGAAGCGTCCTTTGTGGCTGACACAGATATTAGACAGGCTTTTGTGTTACAACCAACTGCTGAATTGGGTAGAGAATACAATAACAACACAGGGACATTTTGTTGTGGTGTCTCCCTAACTGTTGCAGCACCTCTCGACAGAGAGGTTATCTCCAGCTATAGTTTGATATTACGAGCATGTGATATGGGACAACCGCAGTTGTGTACTTTTTCTCCACTGCACATTTTTCTTGATGATGTAGACGATAATGTCCCGGAGTTCTTAAAGCCAAAATCGGTTCGTCAGTCAATTGATGTACCTCAGATATCAAATAGTCCTTCATTACCGTCAACTCATACAAAGTCAGAGCTGGGTGTGGTTACCGATTATATCAGTGTCCCCGAAGATGTACAACCTGATACAATACTAGTTCAGGTTGAAGCCGTTGACTATGATGTGACAAGTGAAATTCGTTATCATTTGTTGAATTATCAAGACACTTTCAAGGTAAGTGGAAATTATAAATTACTTTTTTCTTTCTATTCCTTTATGTGTACACTGTGTCACTGGTTTATACTACAGAGTGATTTTCTTACTTTGGCTGTGTTTGTTTTATGGGTATTCACACAATTTTTAACTGTTATTAGTAGGTCTGTTCCTGTCGGTGTGGCCAAATAGTTCAATCTCTTGGATTTGAACCAGTGGAACATGAGTTGCAACACCTCTTCATCTATCCAGTTTTAGGTAGTAAGGTGGTATAATTAGCCCTTATAGACTAGGTCTACTGTTTTGTCATGTACATGGATATCCACAAAGTTGTTAAATACCAGCATGATAGCTGGTGGACTTTTTTGCCACCATTTCTACTTATTTGCCTTGGTCTCCTTGGGTCCATTAAACAAATTGTCAATAACAGAGGCAAGTATTGGTCACTGCATGATAGTAGCATGTCTTTGTGCTTTTTCAAAATCCAATAACTCAGGGACGATGATGAATTCCCCTCAGAAATTTTCCCCACCGTAGAATATTATGCATTCTTAAAATGTCTGAAACGAAAATAGTTCATGCCTACGAATTAAAAAAAATTAAGAGAAAATCTTGTTGACTGTAGTCACATATTAAATGCTTAAGTGTGCTATATTTTTTTCACAGTCTTAAAAAGCTGATCTTTGATTATTGAAAGCCTTAGAATTAAGTGAGACATACTTTTCAGGATCTTCCCTGGCATTCTCATCGAATTTGAAAAGCAGTAAACTTTTAAAGTTTGTTATCCGTAGAAAATGCTGTAATAGTGGATTTCATCAGATGCCAATCATTCATTTAACCTATGACCTTTGCTGCATGCCAGCTGTTTAAGGAAAATCTATCCCAACCGCCACTTTAATGATAGTGAGTATCGGTTGGTTGTTTGGCTTTGACCCACAAGGTGTAGAATAACACCTCAGTTGACCTTTCAACTTTTATAAATAGTGGGCCATATGGTTAAATTAGTTTTTAATATTATGTGACAGCTGTACGCTTTTGACGAAAAAAATTACACATTAGTATAATAAGGAGACTAAACATCTTTGAAATATTCTACCCCGTATAGATGTCACTATCTCGAATCGATTTTTCATAATTGTGTGGTGGCTGTTACACATATTCAGTTATGCTAAAGTTTGGTCGTTCTCAATGAACCTGGGATACAAAGTTTTCGGCATATAGCGGCAATTTTTTTTTCGTTTGGTGTATGCAAAAGGATATTTCACTGCACTGAAAAAATCATATAACTGCAACACTTATGGTAGAACTAGTTTTGTTTCCAGCAGTAGTGTTCTGTTGATATGGCACATGTTTCAGCATTCATTTCAGAAAGAAATTCTTATTTATTACAGACCTCTTCCTTATCACACTGTGTTGTTATTCTTCGATGACCAGTTATCTTAAGATGAAGATAATACCACCATTAGTCAGTAAATATGGACTGCAATATACTTTAAAGTATGATGTAAATTAGAGGTTCTTTGTGTATTGTGAGTTAATTGGTGTTATAATACTAAAAAAAAGACGTTCTCACACTTTGTTTTCAGATACACCCTCGAACAGGCAAAATTCGTTTGAAGACAAAACTCGATCGAGAAAGTCAAGCAGTATACGAAGTATTAGTTTCTGCTGTTGGATATCCTCGTGGAAGTGATCAGAGTCTCCAAATCAAGATACCATACTCTAATTTAATGCAAGCGTCTCAAGCAGCTGATCATGAAACTTTTCTTTCTTCTACAACACGTGTTCGTATAGTTGTCACAGATGTTAACGACAATCCTCCAGTATTTCGTTCACCTGGTCTCCCTCAAGAGTCTCAGCACATGTATTCCAACTCATCTGGCATAAATGGCGTAAATGCTTGGCTTGGTTCAGATGGATATGTTGTTTATGTCCCAGAAGATATTCCTGAAGGTGCTTATATAACAACATTGTTGGCTACTGATAGAGATGAAGGCAGGAATGCATTTATCAGGTATAGTTTATTTGGGAAACAAGAGAGTAGTGCGACATGTTTTCATACTGACCAGCTTACTGGTGTTGTACGTTTAGCTGCAGGATGTGATTTGAGAAGAGGTGCTCGCACACATGTACTTACTGCTTGGGCTATGGATCAGGGTGCATCACAATTATACGCTAATATATCATTCATTGTACACGTGTTGTCTGTAAAAGTGAATGTTTTCCCACCGCGTTTTACAAAACATCCAGCTCTTTTTAGTGGATGGATACAAGAAAATCAGCCTTCTGGAAGTTTTGTTTATTCAGAACGTAGTCTAAAATCTAAGCTGAAGTTAGATGCAATGGATTCTGAGGGTTTAAATGTTTTCTATACTATAATCGGCGGTTCAGGATTCGGTTTGTTCAATATAGACAACGATGGTAAGTTCGATTGTACACTCCTAGTTTTAAATAGTTTTGTTGTTTTTGTTAATTTCCGCGTAGGCTAAATGCTTTGATGAACGCTACAAGATATTTTCTGTGTAGAGAATATATAAAATATGTACTTCTTACTAGTTTTCTGAATGTTGTTGTTGTCCTACGCATAGTCGTATGGATGCACTGACAACTTTTATATCACTAATCAGCATGTAGTGTTCAGAAAACACACGAGCTGACATCAGTTAGAGAACCGCTGGAAAACCTGGGAGTACTGGACAACTGTTTTGTTTTAAAAGTACGCACTCACCAGGGTTTGGAACCAGGACCTTCCTGTTATGAGGCGAGCTCTTAGACCATTCAGCTACTGGGACTAGATCCGAAGAATCAGTAAACTTCCACGGTGTGGGCAGCCGGGAAGTAACAACCGCCCACACATTTCCGAGAGCACACGAAGCCTTCCTGAGCATCATTTTCCTAGGACTAGATCCAATGGACCATGAATTCCAACCTCTGCCAATTCGTGATATATATTTAGGGCAACCGCCAGTATGTAATCAGTCAAATCCCTGCATACTGACACTTGATAATAAATCTAATGCACACTAGAGACCGACCCTATTAAAGAATTTACCTAGGGTTCTAGTGAGAAGTTGTAGCCAGTCGGGTCCACCAAGTCAGGTAAGTGGATAGTTACTCACCTGTAGCACTGACTGCTGGCTGTGCTAAGTATGTATCAGGAATTGCCAGAAGTTGGGATTCATGGGCTGGCCGTTGGATCGAGTCCCGATAACTGAATGGTCTACGAGGTCGCCTCGTGACCGGGAGAATCTGGGTTCGAGCGCCGAAGGATATGTGCTGCCGAAGAGTCCCAGAATAGGACGAAACATTTACCCAGTACTCCGTGCTGGTTCTCCAATAATTTTCCTACTAATGTCAGCTCCTGAACAATCCTGTAACCAGTCAGTTGCCTGCAGACCAACTCTTGATTAGCAATATTTCCTTGAAAATTATAATATAACTTAGTCACACATTCTAAATTGTAGGACTGTGGCTCACCAGTCTAGACGCTCGGCTTTCAGTCAGTGGATCATAAGTTCGGATCCCCCTCCTCGTGCCGAGGTTTGGGCGACCCCAGGTAGTACAACTACTCCTTACACAGTAAGTGTCACGCATTTCCAACTGCATGGAATTGCAAGTGGTTACTCGGTAACATTGAGTTGACGAATCATTTAAAAGAAAAAAAACATTTCTGAAATGAAGATCCACATAGTTTAGAGATCTTTATGCTGTGTGAATGATTGGTCGACGTTTAACTTTGTAGAGATATGCATCAGTTTATGCTGTGCTTCCCTCCTAAGAAGCAAACATAAAAGAAAAGTGTAGAGATGATAGAATACGACAATGGACTAAGATGGGTGAAGGAGTTGGGGGTGTTTAGAATTTTGAAGAGTGAATACATCCCCTCCACAGCGAAAGTTCTGTTTTATCATGTTATCACGAGTCTTCAACTATCTGCCCTTAATATCACAAGGCTACTAAGCAGATAAATCACTCCTCTCTACTTCGGCTGTAATGGACCGAGATGTTCGGTTGCTCTTGACATGTTGGCTCCTAGCATAGGGACTCATCGACGATGTCTGAGGATCGATATGCTGTTATTTTTATGGATATTAATTAGCGGGGGATATCCGTTGCAAAAGAGGGGGTTATCATGATCCAAGTGACCTAATGGGTAGCGCTTTGGTGTTTTGAAACCTTGGGTGCTGGGTTCGTGTCTAAGTGGCGGACACAATCACTCACTGGGGATCTCAGATATATCCAGCCAACTGGGTAGTTCCAAATAGGGCGAAATGCATATCCTGAATTCCACTGCTAGTCAACACCCACCAAATAACAACTTGGTGAAATGATTCAAACTCTTTCGAAATGTCAAGGTTTTATTCAGTCCTTGTTACTGTCTAGATTCCGAAGATCTCCCCTTAGTGTTCGTCTACTTTTTCTCTACGGCTGCATTGCTTTATCCTCTGAAGTATTTGATATTAAGTATATTATTTTATATCGATGTGTAAAATTGCAAAGAAGTCACCCTAACTGCTGCTTACATTCCTTTAGTTAATATACATCGTTTCTATTCTACTAATATTTTTGTTCATTTTTAAGGTTATGTATACAGCATGAGAGAACTAGACGCTGAGGCTGTACAAGATGAAGACGGATATTGGTTGGTTGTTTACGCTGTGGAATCTTTTCATCATGCGAGACGATCGAGATCTAATCCTCAAAATCTGGAATCTCTACTAATCTCATCCTCTCCAAGTGGACCTTTACATACGATTGCTGAGTTATTTATTGAGGTAGGCTTTCATCTAATTGAAATAATTTTGTCTACTATCAGCCTAACTGTGTTTACTTTTAACTTTTTCTGGCAGTTTCTAACTTTAGCAGAAGTTAACTGCCGTTTTCAGTAGCCCTCATTATGTACGGGAAGTCATGCAAATGGGTTTAATTTCTGACGTTAGACTATTGGTTAAGTTAAGATTTAATACGATAATTTCCTATCAGTCCTTTTTAAAACACAGGAATGCTGAAGTGCATCTTGTTCCTTTTTTTTGTAGTAGATTTTTGGTGTATACTACTGGAAAAAGCATAGAGGTTTACAACTTAAAAAAGGTTGAACTTTTCCCTGTATATTATGTTAGTGGAGATCATACTGTTTTCCACTGAGTTTTATTAGATTCTCAACAACTGCGGTTTACTGATTACTGATTCTGTCATCCGCGACAAATTGTTCACATGTCAGACTGTGAGTCATACATTCAATTAATAATGTACGGGGACTGATGAGATATATTCAGTTGAAGTGGATTGGGACTCGAACCCAGGAAATATTGACTAGACATCGACTGATTGAGTAAGTGAGCCACTAAATCAATAAATCACAACTTACATTCACCTAACATCTTCGCTATGCTTCCTCAAAATTATTTCAGAGAATTATCTATCACCTTTGTTGTTGTCTTCTTTCGTATGCAGATCTTCTGTGTGTCCTAAATTTAATCGATCCACATCTGTGCATAGTTCCGCATTCATTTGTCATTCAGTCATACTTAATAAAATAATTGTATCTTTAAAAAAGTTAATAAAATTATACCTATTTTTTGGTTGTTGATTACGTAAGCATAACGTTGTACACCGACTAATTTTTGAACATATAAATTACAACACTAATCTATTCTCTTAAAAGCTTTTTTAAGTATGCTCCATAAGCTTCTAGTTAGTCTTTCATTTCTCCCAATTTAACAGTTGATACTTCAATTAAACCCTGGGTAGTAAGTAACAAGTGTGTTTGATCCCTGGTTTTGTTGGAGATCGAATACCATCAGTCAACTTTGCAATGGGGCCATCATGCTATGTGGCTTGGTCTGCGCCAAAAGAAGGACTGGATGCATAATTTTAATTATTATCTAGTGTTCAATCAAAGTATCCGTTACAGTCCTACAGGAGGAGGTCAGTCTCAAGGTCGAATAACGCAGTGGTGGCAACGTCTCTGACTGACTGCAGCACTGGGGTGTCCCGGGGATTTAAATCTCAGAAGGGACATGAGTTTTTCCTAGGTTGCAGGTACGCCCTGCTGACTGGTGAGTGAGTGCCTACTAGCACGAAACCTAAGTCAGACTGGGCTTCATGCCAATCGCCTCCAACCATCGAACTAGACACATTACACTAGTTACTAACTGACGTCCAATCAAACAGGTTCTATTAATTGAATTGTCCGAAAGCGCTGTATTAAAATGTTAGTTTTTGAGGTTTTTCTTCTTAAAAATATGGAATACATATTAGTACAGTTCAACTGATGTATCCTGTTGACCGACTATGCAAGGAGCACGACATTCCAGCATGTCTCTGCTTTTAGGTGATCCAGAAAGCTGGCTACTTTATGACTACCTTTCACGAGTATAATAACTTTTTAGATTAGATTATGGTACAGAGACGACTTGCAGCTCTCGGGTATATGATATTAGTGAGTAGTTGTGTTCTTTAAGTTGGATGGTTTATCATTATTTTTTGGAATTAAATTCCTTTGCATTCCCAGCTTGAGCCTTGAGGTTTTGGTAGTGGTGATTTTTTCCTTTATGGGATAAGGTTGCTAACTCATACTGCACCTTCCACCTTCACCGGACTTACTACCGGCTAAGCGACGTCTAAGAGTACGCTGGCAGGTGATTGGAACGCCGGCCATATGTATGGCTGCTGACGCATAAACATAATCAGCGCGGGACGCATGTATGTATTATACAACCCTCTTCAAACTTTGCATACAACCATTAAGTGATATAGTTGTGAAGCTTCCATAGCCTTCTAGACAGCATCGCTTCAATGCATACTTCAGTTTGAAGTGAGTCCCCTGAATTCTCAATGAGTTTCTCAGCCATCTTTCTCGGTAACATTGGTCGTGATTAGTTGTTTCTTGTTACTGGGAGACAATGGAAGCTTGGCAACTAAACCATCCACCTCTCAAAGGATGGTGATGTGTATACTATAGGAACAACATTCCAAACAGATCGATGGTTTATTTTCACTATTATTTGATAAATCTGCCCAGTTTTCGACGATAGACGAAAGAACAAAAAATAACACTTAGTATAGAAGTCAATGTAAGGTTGAAGTAAACATATTTTTATACCTTAGTAGCTCTCATCTCATTTTGTTTTTGTTTGTCTGTTTCTTTCTTTAATGATGCAGGTGTTGGATGAAAATGATCATTTCCCAATCACACAACTTCCACATTATCATTGTCAGTTAGTAGAAAATTCTCCTGCCAAAGTTATCTTGACCCGTATAACAGCTAGTGATTCTGATAATAAAGATACAACCAGTTTAACTTATCAATTGACAGCTGGTGATCCACAAGGTCACTTTATAATAGATACTAGAACAGGTGAGTTAATGTTATTATTTTATTTGAATGGATAGAGACCAGCAGTGGAATCTAGAGATGAACATTTCGTCCTTTTTGAGACTCATCATCATCATCATCTGTGGATGTACCGTCAGTCTCCAATGGGTGAGTGGTAGTGTTCCCATTAGATGGACTCCAGCCCAGCACGACAGTGTTATCCACTCGAGGCTTTGGGCAATGGCGGCATCTGTTCTCATAACATGAAATGCTCATCAGACTAGTCATCATTCAGTAAATAACTTTGTATTAACATCTCGTGTTGTTGTTGTTGTTTTCGTCAAAGTTTCATATCCTTGCAAAATATTCCCTCACTTAATAAAATAATAAATAATATCTCAATATGCTTTATAATAAATAGGTATTCTATCAACAACAGAACGTTCACTGGATCGGGAAACAGTTCTAAAAGATACAAGAGGAGCAGTATTAAATCTTATGGTAAGCGGAATTACAAAAAATAACTTTCTAACCATGTATAAATTTTGTTTTATAGCAATTTGACTATTTTTTTCTCTCAAGGATTGTCAAGTGACTTTCAAGGTTTATTGTTAGGAAAAATTATACTCTTTAATATTTACTTCCAAGTATGCTGTACATTTTGATTGGGTACTAGTTAGTCAGTCACGTTGGCAATGTGAGCCACCATCAGTCAGTCAGTTTAGGTGGCTCACCATCACGGTGAACTTTGAATAGTTGATATTAGATGGTTGGAGGTTTCGTGCTAGTTGGCACTCACCAGTCACAATCACAATCTCGAAGAAACTCATGTTCTTTCTGAGTTTCGAATCCCTGGAACATCCCAGTGCTGCAGTCAATTAGAGACGTTACCACTGAGTCAACTAGAATTGTGGCCACATTGCCAACGTCACTAGTAGAATTCAATCTGCACCAAACAAAGGACTAGACATATTGCACTAATTACTAACTAGTGTGCAGTTTAAGTATCAAATATAGTCCTACAGGAGGTCTATGGCGAGCCCGAATAGCTCAATGGTAACGTCTCTGACTGAGACCTGGCCACTGAGAGTGGAAGACATGAAAAGACTAGCTGTCTTTGATCATAGGTGCCTGCGCTCTATTTCCCGCGTAAAGTGGCATAATAAGGTGAGCAATATTGAGGTTAGGCGTAGAGTTCTAGGTAAACATAGGAAATCAATCGACGAGGTTGTGAAGCTACATCGACTGAGATGGTTAGAACATGTGTTACGTATGCCTAGTCATCGCCTTCCTCGACGAGCAGTGTTAGCGGATATAGGGTCAGGCTGGAAAAAAGCTAGCGGCAGTCAAACAAAAACTTGGTACCAGTCAATGAAATCCACAACAGTTGATCTAAGCCACGTAGGAAGGTGTAGACTTCATGACTGTTTGGGGTCCTCGAGACGGTAAAAATCTATGGTTGGAAACAATTGGTGACATGGCTTAAAATCGTTCTCAGTGGCGCAGATGCATCCACTCCCTGTGACTTATGATCTTCAATGAAACTGTTTTGTATTTCTTTATTACTCCTTTGTCTCACACCTCTGCTCACTGTTTCTATTATGCTTTTCTTGTACTTTCTTCTCTTGCTTCGCGTGCTACACGGAGTGTGGCGACTTGAACTTCCGCACATTTGTGCAAAGTTCTATGTCGAAAACAGACAGACAGACGGACTGCAGCACTGGTTGACGCAGGCTCAAATCTCAGAAGGGACATGAGTTCCTTCGAGGTTTCAGATACGCTTTGCTGACTGGTGAGTGCCAGCTAGTACGAAACCAAGGCCAACTTAGGCTTCGTGCCAATTGCTTCCAATCATCTAATATACTGTATATCATCCATTTATGTATTATTATTGTCACTATTATTCCCTTGGTTTTTGCGTGGAACATAGGGCTTTACCAGCACACCTTCATCTGACTTTATTCTCTACAGTCTTTTCCAGCTGGCTTCGCGATCTCCTCCATGTCACCCTGTCTCATATATATATATATATATATATATATATATATATATATATATACCCAAATGTAAATCGCTAGGATGGAATCTTGGAGACAGCTATTCATTGTCGTAGTCATCAGGAACTATATCTGCGTACAGGACTTTGAAAAAAAGTAAAACTTACTTCACATTGAAGTAAGCGCTAAAGAGCCTTTGGAAGCTTCTCAATTAAACCGTCTAGCTCAAAAATAAAAACAGGACCACAGTAAAAATAATATTCACTTGATATTTTGACAAATTAGCCCTATTCTTAACTAATTTTCATGCTTCTATGTCAGCGAATACTAAACGTTGTATAACAAAAGATAGCACCAATCTCAATCAACGGAAGAAATTTGGAAGAGGTTGCTTATTTATGTGGCGTCATTTCAACTACAAGTGTAAGGCGGATGAGAATGTCAAAACTAAGATCGAAAAGCCAAAAAGAAAACATACGATCATCAATCTGAAAGCAGTTTGAAAATCTTCTGCACTCAGTCGGCATGAAGAACGAAATTCGAATTTTCAAAACACCAAATTCAAGTAAATTCTCCTATACCATTCACAGACCTGATTCCTGAATCACTAAAAGCATTTCCAACAGGCTGTACTGCAGGCCTCTATCAACTTCTGTCTTCACTGAATACTGAAAGATCAGATGATAGGCGAGAAAGGATTAGCGACAAGAAACCAATTTAAAAAACATATTTCTGAACAAATATGCAGAAGGAAGTGGAGATGGACTGGACACCCCTAGGAGAACGTTGGATGACATTGCACACCAGGCAACTCCTCGAGTGGAACCTGAATAAGAAACGGTGAGTTGGGCCTGTGTCTGAGAGTGAGATGGAGGAGATCGTGCGATGAGAAGGTGAGAGCTTGTAAGCAACTGTGTAGCCAGATAAAGAGGACAGCAGGGAACAGGGTGAAATGGAGATATACTATTGAAGGTCTATGTTTCACTGGGAAACCAAGGGAATAATAATAAAGCAAAGTATGCTTTTAGCCTGATTTGAAATATATTACACTCTGCACATTATCTTGTAATTTTGTTGTTTTATCTTCGCTCTTCAGGTCACTGTATCTGATGATGATAAATTGAGTCCACGGAGTGTTGAAGTTCCTGTGACAATTGAACTATTGGATATAAATGATAATTCACCTCGATTTGCACACACCGCTCCAAAAGAATTTTCAAAGTATAGAAAATCTACAGAAAATCCAGATTATTTCTTTCAGTATTATGCGACGAAATGTAAGTTTTTTGTTGTTGTTATAGAAATGGGATATTTATACGTAGCATTGTTGGTGTGTGAGTATGTGTGTGTGTTACAACCTACAGAATCTTCATTATTAAATGAAGTCAGTTGGCTAAAATTTATCATAGCAGCTGCCAAAATCTCTCTAGTTACAGCCACAATAGTGTGACACCTGAAAAGCTGTTAATGTTTTACCGGTTAACATGAAGGTGTCTATCACCCAGGAGAGTTGGAAAATCCTGATTCCAAAACCTGTCGTGCATAAATGCGTTTCAGAATCCGATAGAATTGCTTACGTATGAACCAACCTGTTTTGTTCCCTGTCAGCCGTGGGAACGTAGCCTTTGAAGCAGTCCTACTACCTACCTTGTAAATCAGACTTCAATTCAAAGGCTCAGGCAGGCAGGTGAGGATGCCCTCATTAAAGCAACCAACCATCTGCTTCAATCTGAGAGTCTGAGCAATATCCCAACACTCAAACAAACAGTGAGATTTAGTGTACTGTGTCTCTTTACCAGTGAGTGATTGAATGATTATTGGTTCATAGTTTCTATCAACAGGGAAGTGTACTAATGCAGAGGCATAGAAGAACTGAAGATTTTCTAGGTTAACAATTCTGAAGGAAATTTAGTATTTTGCAACTATTGGAAAACCAGAGAGATCACTGGACATGCGTTTCGTCCTAACTTCGGGGCTCTTCATCAGTACCTAACCATGGCGCCAGCGAAAACTGAACCATAGACAAGACAAAGCTTGATGGGCATTCAGACATTGAGACAAAATACAATGGTCAGCCTCTTGAATTCTAGAGTCTGACAATGGATGATTGGATAAAGCGCGCAACACTTGGAAATATCTAAGGTGTCTAGAATTTGAATAACTCTCCAACTGTTCAATTTTTTTTTCGATCATTTTACTGTTGACATTGATAAAGACTCTTCTCCACCTTTCTTTCTTTCTTCCTTCCTTCCTTCAATTTTTGAAAAGAACTCATTAGTGTTGATTCACACTTGCGTTTCCGTTGAACGTCACAGGGTGTAGTAGTAGTTATAGATTTTTTTCAATGGCAATCAACCATCTGGAATTAATTTTTTAATTATTATTATTATTATTTCGTGTGTTCAGATTATTAGCGTACAATTCGGTTTTCTCTCTTTCGTTCTTTCTAATTTTTTCTAATTAAAACATGTTGCTTTGACTGACTGCATCTAAGAGTCTGATTTCAGTGGAAACTAAAAGAAACGTGTTTGTGTGCTCGTGAGTGTGTGCGTGGTGTGTGTGTGTGTGTAACAGCTGTTTTTCTTTAGGCTTTTCTGTTAGTTGTAACATTTTTTTGAAAAAAAAAATAACAGAGAGATTTAGTTTTCTTCTTAGACGATTATTATTCAAGCATGACGGAAACAATTACATCCACAAACTGTTATGAATACATATATACATATCGTGTGACTCACTTGTAATCTTGTTATGCGCTATACTGGACAACTGACTGTCATTTTACACAACACTGGCATTCTATGTCGAATTGTAGTCAACCTCTATTGACTAGTTTCTTAAATATATATATATATTTTTTAGTGAAGTTGAGTGGAATCGCCAAACATCAATCTTCTTCTTGCATATGATGAGTATTTATTTAAAGTGCTGTGAATACTTTTGTGCAACATTTAACCGTCGAAAGACATCAATACCTGATTCATTCTATTTGCAACTTTTGCTGAAATCGATCTAATACACATTTCGTAGTACAGTATAGTAGTAGTATTCTGTGGTCCGGAGTTCGAATCCCGTCTGACTTACTCCTAAACCTTACTTAACCTGATTAAAGAGGAGAAGTTTGGCATAGTATTAACAACCCCTACCCTGTAAAAATATGAAACCACTTCTAATGAAAATTCAAAGCTTTTGAAGCGCCCTATGTTCCACTTGGAACGAAAGGGAACCAGCCTATAGAGACATGTTAATAAATGGTTTGTTGTATGTCTGTATACATTTATTATGAGTTGTAATCATTCTATTGCATTTATTAAAACATAAACTTGGTTCATTATGGGCACCGAGAGATATATACCGCATAAAGTCTTACAGTTTGTGTGAGGATTGGGATACCACCCGGACGCCTAGACTCGAAGAAGTTGGTTGTTTTAAGGGTCACTTTTCCCTTGAGCCTTTGACTTGAAGTTACATTCACAAGGATAGTGGAATAACGTCGAGAGCTTCGTTCTTATGGGGTTGCCTGTGATCAAAGCATGATGTTTATACGTCATTCGATTATATCACACTTTGAGACTGATGTACAACATAAGTTGGGAATCAAGGTTTTCCAACACCTCCTGCATATCCACCAGTCCGGTTGAAAGCACCAGACGTCCGCACTAACCCTTCCGCTTTTGTAAGCAGCACTCACTCCCATCGCGGGAAAGCAGTGGATAGGACTTACACTGGAGAGGTAGGGAGGCTATGAACATGTGTCTTCATGAAAGCATTTTGAGAGGTAGATCCGACTTTGGTTATACCAGGTTGTTTATGAGTGCAGTAGTCGTACCGCCGCTTAAATTTTAAACAATAACGTGAAGGTGTCTTTATCATACTATGATTAATTTTGCTAATCTTAATAGCGTCGGTGGCACAGTGGTTAGGACTCTCACCGACCATGCAAATGGTTCGGGGTTCGATCCCCTGTCGATGCACACTTGATATCAATGGTCGGTCTGCAAAATTTGGGCTACCGATATCACATGCAGAAAATTCCATACTTGTACAAAAAATACAGTGCAGAATCAAGCTATAATAAAAAAATATCATCATCGGGAACTCTATCCTCACTCCCAACTAGATGGACCCCACTGTTCACGAATTCTCACCAGAACTCCAAGCAACTTCGTCCAGTAGCCAGTCACTAGCTAGCAGCATCAGATTAGTTTTCAAGAATTAGCTTTTTAGGGATTCTACTTGTTTCAGCCTAGACCACGGATTGCTATCAATTAGAGAGCCGTTGAAACAGCAGTGCAGTACTCCTCCCTGGTTTTCAGTGTCTCTCTAGCTGATATCGATCCGTGGTGTAGGCTGAAACAAATAGAATCCCAACACGATCTAAGTCTTCGTATTGTCAATTTCAATGCTTATATTATATTGTACGTATATCCAGTTTTTGAAGTGTCAGTTATCTTTGAATCTCTTCTTGCCATCGAAATTAAAAGCGAATACATGTTAACGTATTTGTTGGGTTTTTCTGTTTAAAAAAAGGGTAACAACTTTGTCGTCTCCTCTTTTTGTTAAAATTTCTCCCCTCAATTATTTTTACACTTAAAGAAAGAAATATTTCTGTTTGAATTATTATTATTATTATTCAGTCTAGCTTTAGTCGTTATACAAAATCTACTTTCCCATTCTTTATCACATTAACCAAAATATCACTGAACTAATTAATTATTCGTTATTAATTGTTGCCCCGTACCATCGTTTATTCCAAATTTCGATATTTAATTTTGTTTAATAATACTGAATCGCTTTCACTTCGTGGGGATTTTTTCCCACCGACCATAGAGGCAGAGAAAGAGAGAGAGAGAGCGCGCGCGCGATGAAAAGATAGCGAGTACACTTTCTGATCATCTTTCGTTTAGGCCTTCTCTTCCCACTATTATTTGATAGCCTTACTCGTAATGAAAATATTATTAACTATCTTTCAATGTCAAAAAACTAACTAACTAACTAATGCGGTAAAGAAATGTGAAGAGTAGGTGAGAAAAAAAAGGGGGGGGGAAGGACGACGGAAGTTGTCGAGAGGTAATCATGAATTCATTCAGTTGGTTGGTTGTGCGCTTAAGGCTTGTTATCTTGCTCATTGAAATCCTCTTTTTCTGTGTCTATCCATGTTTGTCTCACTGTGTGTGTGTGTGTGCGTATGCCTGTGTTTGTCGGACATTCCTTTCCAGTCTAGATGAATCACGATTACCTAAATATATTTCATGTATCATTATTTATTTAGTTGCCTAATATATATGTAATCATTTTCTTACGATATATAAACATGAAAATAATCATGGCAAAAAGGTCGTTGTGTTGATTAATAGCAGAATCGCTATCATCATCGTCAGCAAACAGCAGCAGACGTATCGTGATTATACGTTTCTGTTAGCTACATTTCGCTTTTAACACATAAGTTGTCAGTTAGTTAGTTGGTTCGTTAGTAGTCAGTCGGATTACCTACTTACTACACAGCAATATAACTGTTCTTATTTCGACTGGTATTCGTAAAATTCAATACAGTTCACTTTTTAAGGCGTACTGAATAGTGAAATAAGTAAATGGATGAATGTATCCCCTCCCCACCCCCCTACTTTGTGTTATGTTTTCTTCCGAGACAGGTGGTTATTTGCGGTATCGCCATAGAATACTTTCGATTTTATATATATATATATATATATATATATATATATATAAATCCTTACTGCCTCCTACTATCATTCAATTCATTATGAAATACCAACCAAGTAAGTATTTATTAGGCAAGGAATGTAACTAAAAGTGTTGGTGGGAGTGGGAGTGAGGGTTGGTGAAGGAATATAGTAGAGGATGTGAGGTTAATGATGAAAAGAAAAGTACATTCAATTCATCTTGTTAATATAAGCATCCAACACATTATAGTGTTGTTGCCCTAATTCTCTCAGTAGGCGTCGGTGTTCATAATAGGAAGAATTTATTGCAGAATTAAAAGACTTGTTTTTATCGACAGCAACAACAGAAAAATATGGATTTAAGAAACATGCTGAAATGATGATTACATAATAGACAGATTTTGTGTTTCCTCTCTTAATCTCTCTTATACCTTGTTTATCCCTTTAGGCGTACGGTCATTTTGCTTCTGTTACACTACTACTGTATAAAATCGATAAAAATCGAATCCCGGTGGGTGCGTACTGATGAAGAGTCCCAAACGTGGACGAAACAGCTGTCCAGTACTCCCAGTTGGTTTTTTCAATGGTTCTCTAACCAATGTCAACTCATGATGAGATCCTGTAACCAATCAACCAAATCCTTACTAACCAATACTTGAAAAATAAATAAATTATAACTTTATTGTAAACGAAACGTTAACACACGCAGTGTACAGAATTCTTAGCGTAATTCAATGCATATTATTTTATGCTCATCCATGAACTTTAAGTTAAAATAAAATGGTAGTATATGAGATATACCAATTGACACAGTGCTGTCACATCTTAAGCATAGACTTAATCCTTTTACGATATAATTTTTAATTTTGTCTCTGCGAAATACACACTGATGGTTTTGAAAGGCGATTGAAAATATGCGTGATGGCATTTTATGACTTAAAGACATAAGCGAATTGTTAAGACAATAAGAATTAGAGAAAATATTATGATGGGATGTGTTGGGTGAAAATTTAGCTAGCGTAGTAATTCATCAAATAGGCCGCTACATTGTTGGTGGGCTGTTTAAAACTTGGGCCACTACAAACTTCCATCTGTCTATTGGTATTATCTACTCTTGTGTGTATTTAAAGTGTTAACAAGCTTCTGATTCGCAAGTTCCTATTAAACTTGAGGAAAGGCCTGATTGTGGGCGTGGCAATGTGTTCCAATGCAGCATGAGGTAACTGTTCTTCAGTTGTGTACTTAGGTCTCAAAATGTACTTCTGAAAATCTTTTAATTGTCTTTCAACTGGATATCGTGGATGTCTTGAAGCAGGCAAAGCATATATATCATCATGGAATGGTTTGTACTTCATCTCAGAGAGCATTGTGTCACATGAAGGATATACTGTCAATTAATTAATATTTTACTTGAAGATATTGTACGAGGAGAGTAAATATTATGCAATAAACTCCTGTCGAAATTCTGTACATTTTTATGAATACTGTCCAGAACCAAGATGTTATTATTATTACTACTACAAATAGTCCTCTGCTCCCAACATATATATAAGCTCCCAGTTGTTTAGGGCGCTATGAAGTCATTCACTGTTGTCAGCGGACAAACAAATAGATGTCTACATTTGTGGAGGATTATGCAATCAAAGTTTTTAAGCCCAGTTTCTGTGTACAGCGGAAAATGTTGGCCACTTTGAATTTACCATGGTAGTATATTTTACTTACTAACCATTATTTTATCCCACCCTTTATTATTATTCTTGACTCATCTAAGAGTATCTTTTGTCTGTACCATTATCTTAAGTAGTTGGTTTGCACGGGTTTCATCATGAGCTGATATCGCTTAGTGAAGCACTGGATAACTGTTTCGTCCTAGTTTGGGACTCTTGAACAGTACTCATCCACTGCCAGGGTTCTAACCCCCAGGACCTTTTGGCTACAAAAGGAGCTCGCAGACCATCAAGCCACTGGAACCCGACTCAATGGCCCATGAATTCCAACTTTTGCCAATTCACGAAATACCATGACCGCTAGCCAATATCATCTGACCTACTGTAACCTACTGGTCATGACTTCCTACTAGAACCTAGATAACTACCTACCTGAATAGGGTCAGTCTCTGGCGAGCATCAGATTTGAATGATGTAACTAAACCGCAATCTTTTATTATTATCTTCATCATCATCCTAATTTTGATCTTCCATACCCCTCCCCCCTCATCTATCTGAATCTGATTTGTAAAACATTTTTGCCTGTCATTATGTATGATTGGCTTCAATGTAGTTCACTTTCCTTTTAAGTCATATATCTTCCAATGTACTTCTAACAGTACACATGTATGTGATTCTATGTAGAGTATTCGGCTGAAGAGTTTCACTGAAATTCGATAAATTTATCAAGTCTTGCTTTTTGGGTTGAGAGGAAATACTGAGTGTTAATTGACCTAATGATCACTGGCTGTCTGAAAGTGTTTATGATTGTACTGGGTTCTTTTCAGTGATATATGCGTATATATATATAATGATTTACCTAATTTGAATGGAAATTGTTTAGTTTAAATGCATACTAATAACGTTGATTGTTCAGTATGTATCTATTATATTATAGCTTCAAATTCAGTAATCTGTGTTGGACGTGTTTTTGCCTTGGATTTGGATTCTGGATTAAATGGGACAGTAATCTATGAACGTGATGCCTCAGATGATTTTAAATCATCATCAATGAATGACGACGGTTTTTTTGTAGTTGAGCAAAATGGTTGGATTTGTACAAAAGATGGTGTACCACCAGTTGGGGAATACAGAATGAAAGTAGGTCTTACAATTATTGTTTCTTTTCTTTTTTAACGTATTCTTTTGTAAACAACCTGTTTTTGAAAGATTTAGTTCCTGGAGACTTTTATTCGTCTATTATTTCTGCTTGTATCTGTGCCAGTACTACTTAAATTCATTCTATTGCTTATTAACCTGTGACTTATATTCTAAATAGTTTTCCTTCGAATTCTCTTGGTTCGTCATTATTTGCATCATCTCGTGTTAATAAATGTATGGTTTTAAAGTTATATTCCTCATTTTTTTGAGTCCTGAAAGGAACGCAAGGTTTCAGGTTTGGAACCTCAGTGGTTATGGTGTTGCTTTTACACGGGACTAGTAAAACTGGGCCAGGTTGAGGAAGGAGCGCGCCTGCTGGAAGTCGAACCCTCTGTTGTGCGCCTGGTTGGCGAGCAGTCTATCGTTTAGAACTACCGACTCACATTAAAAATATTTACAACCGATACATTTTGTGTTTTGTTTCTCTGTTTCGTCCCTTCGTATGGCTCTCATCGGTTGATTTCAGTCTGTTTATCTAAATGGATTGCAAGGTTTAGGCTACTGCAATTCACTTTGCACATTCTTGTGATAAAATTACGAACATTCGCTATCATTTCTATGAAATAAAGTATAATTTGTTAAGAATTTAAGCAGAGTAATGCAAACAGATGCCTATGGAGGTAAGTCATTGTGATCAGAAGGATAGACCTTCACCTCCTCTGTTGTCCATGATAGATACCTGTTCTTTAAGCGCTCTCCTTGATGAACATGTCCCTCAACGTAGCTGTGCGTCGGTGGCACAGTGTTTAGGACTTTCGCCGACCATGCACATGGTCCGAGGTTCGAGCCCCGCCGACGCACACCTGATATCTATGGTCGGCCTGCGAAATTCGGACTACCGATATCCATGCTGAAAATTCCATACTTGTACCAAAAATACAGTGTGGAATCAAGCTGTAAAATAAAAAAAAGTACAATAATTGCCTGGAGTTGGAATTTCCAGTCCTATTGAGTCTTTTGAATTTTTTCTCCAGGGTAATAACGTATTCACACAACCGGTTGTGATTCCGAGACTGAAACACGAAGTATCTAGGCTAGCCACGAGTAATTGTATCCATCAGTTCAACTGCTCCTGTGGAGCCTAATTTTTCCTCCTCGGGAATACCACACCTACCAGTGTGACCAAGTTAGGGTGTTATTAAAACTATCACCAGTTCCGTGTTAAATCTCCTCGTCCTAATAGGCCACAAAGCCAATTAGCATTTAAGAGTCTTTCTCATCAATCGAGTACAGAATTAATCACCAAAGGCCTCTAGATACCGAATACTTCAAACAGTAGAGGTCATTGCTATTCGCTTAAGTCAGCTAGAGTTCTGAGTGCACAAAAAGACAGATCCTGCCATTATTACTACCCTGTCCTACTGTCGAGTCTAGAAATTCATAAATTCTGTTTTACTTCCTTCAGATTTATCTGATATCTAGTTAAGTCTTACATTTATTCGTAATTTCTTGTTAATAACGATTATTCTTTAATTATTGTGGTCATGCAACTGTAGAACCTGATGACAAAAAATATTCTTTGTTTACTAATCAGCCTTTTAAAAATTTAAATGGATATCTTGAATCAATTAAAATGAATAACCCATTAGAAGTTAATGAGTGGATTGTGACTAGTGGCGAAATCCAGGGTGCGCATTTCGTCTTATTTGGGACTCGTCAGCTAACTGGATATACCTCCATTCCCTAGTGAGTGATGATGTTTCTACTGAGGCTCGAACACAGTGACCATAGTTTCAAACGCCAAAGCGTTATCTCCTAGACCAATTGGGTCACGAGAACCACCTCTTGTTCACCAGGTCATATTAATTGTTTAATTCAATTTTAGATTTTCCCGCCGACTGATTGGACCGAAGTGCTTGGTCTAAGATTGACATGGGCACTGGGTTTGAACCTTGGTGGCAACATCACCACTCACTGGGGAGTGCAAGGACATCCAGATGACGAGTCCCAAGTAGGACGAAATGCGAATCCTAGATTCCACTGCTAGTCACCATCCATCGATTAACTTCTAATTACATGCCCAGACATCGTCAAGGCATCTTCACAAGAAGCCGACAGACATGTCAACCTGAGACCGAGCACTTCAGTCGAATTAATCGACGGAAAAATCTAAAGTTGAATTATAAATATCCCTTTTAGTTTAAGATTCATATTGGAAACTGAGTGAATTTTCTTTGCTCTTAGATTTTTGCAAGAGATCAAGGAGAACATCCAGTTGTACGTATGAAAAAGGAAAAAGGAGAAAAAGAAGAAGAAGGATCAGCAATTATTTTTATTCGTATCCTCCCACTTCCATCCAGTGATACATCTGAATCATCTGAAGTTCATTATATCAAGTATACATCTACGCCTCCACCAGCTAGTCATACTATTGATGATAATACTATTGTTGGAGAAAAGTTATTCAGCTTTGCAGTTCATGATTCATATGATCCTAGTGGAATGGGATTAGTTTTTGAACTTTTAAGTAAGTTCACATCTTTTCTAATAATTATTACATACTATTTCTATTTTTTAAAATGTGGCATTTCTTTAAATATAAATGTGTAAAACTTGAACACTGTGATTTTATATGTAATTCCATACTAATTTGTTTATTTGATTATATTCCTCTCGGCGAGACAGTATTATTATTATTATTAGTATTTGCTGGATGACAAAGTTTCAAACACAATCAATTCACTGTTCATAATCATCATATCAATTGTAATTACACAGTTTCGAGACTTCTGTTTTTAATTTTTTCCCGTCATTCCTTCCCATTTATTATGGAGGTAGTAGAATTTTTCCAGATGTCCAAGCGGACAGGTGTTGAATCATTCCTACTGTACCCGTATTTTCATTTGATTCGATAAGTAAAACTACTATGCATATCTCCGTCTACCCTGTTATTATGTTAGATTTTAAGACTCGCATCGTCATTGTATGGTTGTGTGTGTGTGTGTGTGTGAACTGCATGTAGTGAGTGCTATAACTGAACTATTCTCCAGATTTCTTATCTTATTAGGGTCAACTAATCTAGATTTTGTTAGGTCTGTGTATTCCACTAATCTAATTGACTCTGTCCTACTTACTTTGACCTATGTATTTGACTTGACAATCATTGAAGAGTATTAGACAAATTAAATTATTTTCAGGATTTCATCATGAGCTGACATTAGTTAGAGAACCATTGGAAAACCACTAGGTAGTACTGGACAGCTGTTTCGTCGACCTAGTTTGGGACTCTTCATCAGTGCGCACCCTCCGGGATTCGAGCCCAGGACCTTCCGGTTACAAGGCGAGCTCGTATACCATTAAGCCACTGGGACCTGATCCAATGGCCAATGAATTCTAACTTCTTCCAATTCACGATAAAGCGCAACCGCTAGCCAATGCCTTCGGAGAGTATTTGTCCTCACACCCGACCCGCTGTACCCTACTGGTCACGACTTCCCACTGGAACCCAAGTAACTACCTACCTGAATAGAGCCAGTCGCCAGTGAGCATCTCATTGGTATTCAAGTGTTGGTTTGTAGGGATTTGATTGGTTTCAGGATTTCATCATGAGCTGACATTTGTTAGAGAGCCATTGGAAAACCTGGGAGCCCAAACTAGGACGAAACAGCTGTCCAGTACTCCCAGGTTTTCCAATGGTTCTCTAACTAATGTCAGCTCATGATGAAATCTCGAAACCAATCAAATCCCTACAAACCAACACTTAAATAGTACTGATGTTTCATTGTGTGGTTGATATTTCTCTTCCTTTTTGCAACGTGAAGTATAAGACGATATCTCTTCTTTTATTAGTCAAGTTTTCTGTAGGTCTGTCTGTCTGTCTAGATTCAACATAGAACTTGGCACCGAAGTGCACCAGTTCGAGTTGCCACGTTCCAAATACCACACACACACAAAGGTAGACAAGAAGATGAGTGAAGAGAATCAATAGAGTTTGACAAGTATAAGAGTGAAACAGAATGGGTTTGATGCCATGTTTTTGTTTGGCCACCACTTACTCTTTTCCAACCTGCACCTATATCAGCTAGTAATGCCCGTCGGGGAAGGGGGGGCGATGGTTAGGCAGGCATGCGCAGCACGTGACCTAGCCGTCTCTATGCCATCTATGTAACTTTATAGCCTCGTCGATTGATTTTCCCTGTTTGCCCAACGCTCTACGCTTAACGTCAAGATTACTTACCTTATTGAACCACCTAACGTGAGATTTCTGTAGGTCGATTTAAGCGATGTTCTCTCTTCCATATTATTAAATATATTTATACACGACCTATCTCTCGAGTTGTACTCACCTTGTGTCATTTTATAGAGGTTTATTTATTCTGTTTGCTTTATGGTCTACTTCATGAATAAAAATGGGTCATTTATTATTTCATCCTACTTCGTATGTATTATTCTTCTTTTGTAACCCCGCTGATGGGATGATAAGCAATCTTTGTAAATTTCACAATTAACCCTCAAAAATGTTTAATCATCACAGATGATATACTGCGCAGGAAAGAGTAAAACTGAAACTGAAGATTATTCATATAGTGTGACTGTTAGATGGTGTCATTTCAATAATAATTCATCGATTCTTATCTCTGTAGTTGGTGGTTATGTTCTTCTTCTTCGTGTGTGTGTGTGTGCGTACATCTATGTCTGTGGGATTCCTTTATCCAACTGTTGTGGTGTGTAACTAATATTCTGAATACTAGAGTGCTTCCATTTCTCATGAATCTTTCGCTTCTATGAGAAATATAGATAGATAGATATATACGATAGTATGATAATGATAAATCTTTTCTATTAGATAAGTTCAGTATTTCTTTTTTGTTGTCGTTGTTGTTTTGGTATGATAATGTTGATTTTTCTCCCTCTTACTCCCTAAATATGGACGCTTCGTTCTCTCAGTATTTTTGTTTCTGTCCTCTTCTAATGATTTATTACTTTCCTCGGGCTTAAACAACTTCGATCTTGATTACTACTTTTGTCATTCAAACTCATTAATTATTCAAGTTTATCTTTTCAGTTACTTAGTTTTCCTTGATTTATTATTTATTATTGTTATCATGAATATACCACTGTGAAAATGCTTACTTAAGCCTATTGACATCAGTTTATTTCTGAAGGCACATACATTTGTGTCTCTTCAGTGAGTTTGATTATTAAATTGGAATGGGCGGCAGAACATCTCCTCGTAAGTTTTCATCTCCTTCACCTCACATGACTTCCTCCATGTCACCCTCCAACCCACTGCCAACTCGTTGTTGTTTCCCATTCGAAGGGACCTGTCTAGAATGGGATGTCACTCAGTGTGTGTCCAGTTCATTCCCATTTCCTTTGTCATATTTATTGGACATAGATTGTTGGTTAGTTCGTTGCAAGAGTTCCTTGTTGCTTACCTCCTTTGGCTGGCTGTCCCATCTGACCTCCAGTATCGACTGGAAGTCTTCACTAGCCTGTTGAAAAATGCTTCTGGTAGGGCGGGGCGTCCACCAAGTCTCTCCTAACCGTAAATAGAGAAGTTTATTGACTGACTTTGACATGAATTAGTGTAAAGTGCAGCAGATTTCCACACTAATTTCACACTGGTGAAATTTTGTCTATAAGTAATCTACCATAATGTGAAGTCTTTTGTCATCAGTACTAGCCAGCCAATGAGACCGCTGTTGGCTAACAATCAGTTATTGTCATTAGTATAGAGATTGATTTGGGACTAATGCCAGTTAGAGAATCATCATTGAAAACCGGTTCGCAGTACTCGACAGCTGTTTCATCCCTAGTTTGGTACTCTTCGTCATTACTGGCTACAAGACAAAGTTACCTGAGAAATGCTAGTGACCAGTGGGATCCACCAGGTCGGGGTGTATGAGGATAAATACTCGCCAATAACGATGGCTGGTGGTCATGCTAAAATCATGAATTGATAGAATTTGAAATTCATATGCCGGCCATCGGGTCGGATCCTCATAGCTGAATAGTATATGAGCTTTCGCCTTGTAACCAGTAAGTTCCGAGTTCGAACTTTGGCAGTGGGTGAGTACTGAAGAGGAGTCCCAAACAAGGACGAAACTACTGTCCAGCACTTTGTGTTGGTTTACACTCGTGGTTTTCTAAATGACGTCAATCTGTGATCAATCTGTGAAATCCCTACAAAGTAACTCCTGAAAATGATAATGATGAGGGGAAGTATGTGTCATATATACTTTATGCTCTCCTTGTTTTTACTTTTCATTGTAACATATCGATTTCCAACTGTTTATTGTTTTCTACTGCATCTGTTGTCTAGACTGGTTGTTGTTGTTGTTGTTGTTGGTAGTTGACTGTTATTGCTTACCCCCTTTCTCTCAATCTCCTCTCCCTCTTCCCTTTCCTCATCAACTCAATATGTGTTATAAACAATTATCTTGGCAACTCACAATCCTTTTTTTGTTCTGTGGCCAGTAAATTAATTTCCGGCTTTTAAAACTTTTTAAAGGAATTACTAATAAGGTAATGAGTGATAGTCTTCAGCAAAACTTATGTCTGTTTAGTATGGTTGGTGTAATTAATGTAACTGATTATTTTTTTTTTACCTCCTTACTAACAATAAGTGTGGTTAATTTTTGTAAATTAGCTTACAAGATTTTAGATTTCTCTCCGCCGCTACTTTTAATGATGCTACTAATTGACTGACTGACTGACTAACTGGTTTCAACGTAGAGCTTTGCACAAATGTGCTAAATTTCGAGTTGTCACACTCCCTCTTTGTAGCACACAAAGCAAGAGAAGAGAGTAAAGAGAGATTCAAAAGACAGACAGTAAACAGAAATATGGGACAAAAAGAGTGGTAATATGGAAGAACAACGTAGTTTTATTGGATATTATAAATCACAAATAGCCAAATGCATCTGTGCTACTGACAACTAAGATTTTGAACCATATCACCGATTGTCTTCAGCCGTCACCATCGGTTTTTAGCGAATTGAGGACCCCATACAGTCAGGCAGTCTATATCTTCCTGCGTGGCTGGTAGGCTTAAACCAACTGTTGTGGATTTCATTGACTGATGAAGCTATGTTTTCGTCTGACCACCACATAACTAACTCTTTTCTAACCTGATCAATCCTATGTCAATGGCTAACATTTCCCGTTGTCGAGGAAGGCGATGACTAGACATACATGTGTAACCCATGTCCTAATCATCACAGTAGATGTAGCTTCACAGACTCGTCTATTGATTTCCTCTGCTTACCTAGCACTCGACTGATGCCTAACCTCAATATTTCTCACCTTATTTTACCACCTCACACGGGAGATAGAACGCAGGCATCTATGATCAAAGACAGCTAGCTAATCTTTTGATGTCTTCCACTTTCAATGGCCAGGTCTCACAGAAATAAAGGAGGACTCAGAGAACTGCTGCTGTGTAGTACACACACCCTTTGTTCGATAAATGATGGTACTCCTTTCAAGTTAAGCAGTTGTGAACTGTTATGGGCTGCAAATGTTTGATGCAATCTATCTATCTATCTATCATTTGAATACCTAAAGCTCGGAGAGTGGACCGACTAAATGATGGAGTTGTTTGAATTTGGTCTAGTGAGGATTCATAACCAGTGGAATCTATGCAATTGCGTATGAAGTCAAGTGCCAAGTTCTATGTTGAATCCAGACAGACACTAGCTGAATGAATGGTCAACTAGCTAGCTCACCCTGCAACCTGTAGGTCCTGGATTCAACCCCTAGCCTTGGGTTAGTATTGATGAAGACGCCCGAACAAAAGATAAAATCAGCTGTTCAGTACTCCTTGTTGATTCCTTCTAACTGAGATTAGTCAGTAGTTCATGGTTAAATTTGAAATGAACTGTTAATTCTGCTTTGGGCTTTTCTTTTTTATGTATTCGTTTCATTCAATACCAGTTCTTCAAATGATTTTATAGCACTGTATTCCTCAAGTATTGGTTTTTGTAGGGATTTTGTTTGATTGATCTTATGCTTACTAGCGCCTGGCCATATTCAAGCAAGTGACCTGGGGTTCTAGTAGGAAGCTGTGAACAGTAGGGTACATTAGGTTGAAGCTGAGGCTGTAACTCATCGAAGAAGACATTGCGAAGTAGTCGCGCTATGTCATGAATTGGCAGAAGTTAGAATTCATGGACTGACCATTGGATAGGGTCCCAGTGGCTGGGATGGTCTACGAGCTCGCCTTGTAACCGGGATGTCCTGGATTCGAACCCGACGGTGACTGTGTGTTACTAAAGAGTCCCAAAATAGGACGAAACAGTTGTTCAGTACTCCCAGCTTGTTTTCCAGTAGTTCTGTAGCTGATGTCAGCTCATAATGAAATCCTCCAACCAAGCGTTGTATTTCTTTAAAATCTATTTGTTGAATACCATTGATTATACACTTATGATGACGAAATATACCTCTGTTGAAATTCAGAGTATTATAAAAGCGTTTTTGTTAGTATGCCTCTCTATTTCATGGCGTAAAAATTTCCGTTATTCATTTATCACTAATTTTCAAAATTAAATTTAGCTGGCCTAATTTGCATAATTTTTTAGTACTGTTTATTGTTTCTGTCTCTCTCTCTCTCTCTCTCGCTGTGTATGTAACATTTCAGTTTACAAGCTAATTTCATTTACCATTAATCATTAGAGTCAGTGTTTTCAATAATCTTAGTTATACAGTTTTAAACTCCGGCATATATATATATATATATATATATATGTTACAATGTAGGCTGTTGTTTAGAGATCGCTTTATTGCATGTAAATAATGACATAACCTATTGCTATTAATACTCTATTTGAAATTCATTCTCTGTGAACAAGCTATTGATATTTTGGAATTGTTAAACTGTGAATGAATCGTAATCAACATATATATATATATATACATAATATAATAATAGAGATATTGACATCATATTGCTAAACCTAAGATATCGGTGTAGCTCTTACTACGCCTTAACTGTGCATCATCGTTTCAATGATAGGACGCTTGTGTGATAACCACGCCTTGTCTCACATGGTCCAAGGTTCGAGCCCCAGCCGACTCACTCCTAAATCTCGCTTAGTCAGCCGTTTATTAAGCCTAGTTTTTAGTTAGAAGGTTGGGTGTGAAGCTGGTAACCATAGCCCCCGTGAAAGGGAACAACATCAACGTTATTGAAACTCAAACTTGAAGCCCTGTATGCTCCACTCCAAATGTAAAGGAATGGAGAAGATAATTACGACTTAAAATGATGATACCGTACCAAATAAGGAAATATTCGTAACTATCAGATAAGATCTAATGTTCTATGACACTTTTCTTTCAATTTCTCTAAAATGTTCTCAGGTTTACTATGAGAGAGCCAATTAAAAATGTGTACGAGTTGTTGTAGAATTCGAAAGACATGATTGGATGATTAAAACAATTTATGCATATCACGCTGAATGTATATTTGAGTATAATGCGGTGAATTAAGCAAACTGCCGTTATTTGCTAGTGTTCTTATTGTACTTAGGTATCAAAAAGTTCCATTCCAAAGTTCCAAAAGGTCCATTCCTAGGGCCGCATTCATTTTCAGGGCTAGTTGATTCCTAATCTCCCCACCTCCAGTGCTTCTAATCATTCGCTTAACCGGATAAAATCCCAGTTATCCTGAACGAAGCTTCGGAAGAAGCCAGCTACTATACGGCTATGGTCCTCCACCAGGGTTTCCTCTGGCTTCAACACTCGCAAACATAGTTCACCATCTTTTGGTTCTCAGCATTTCATCTCTTGCTCCACCCCAACAGTGTACATAGCGCAAGACCACCTATCTACATCATGGGATGGGCCATTGATGCATCTGCTACTCACATCTTGGAATCGATGAACAAAACAACAGGATCTCTCCTTAATCCGGACAGGCCGAATGCTTACATTCATTACGCCTTTGGGTTTCTTGACGCCCAATGACTGGCTCACATGTTAGACTCCTTGGTTCGTGTTTCAAGATGGGTAAGGTCGATAGTCTATCACAACCCCACAGACTATTGGCCCAAACTAAGACACACATACTACGCTGCCAACGGAACATGATCAAGCCATTAAATGATCAGACGAAACTAGCAACAAGTCAGCCAGGCTCAGCTACGCCATTCAATGAAATTATCAACAGAAAAAAAACAACAGATTATCTATACAATTCATCTAACCATCCAGGTCATTATAGTTATGATCTTTTAAATGTAAAGTGCGTCTGACTGGCTGATTGACTAGTTTCAACATAGAACTTTGCACAAAAGTGTAGCAGTTCAAATAGCCACACTCCTTCCATTTAGCATACAACGAAAGACAACAGAGAGGAAAAAAGATATTCGAAAGAATGATAATAAACTGAGATGTGAGGGAGAAAGAAAAGTAATATTGGAAAGCAATAGATTTTGATCGAGATAGGAGATCACGAAGAGTGGACGAATCTAATCCACTGAGAACAGCTTCAACTCATATCATCAATAATCTCTAGTTATTGTTTCTTAGAATCCTGAGAATCGTAACTAGACTGTCTGCACCTCCTTATGTGGCTCAAACTAACACTGTCAAGGATTTCATGGACTGATTTCATGTTTTGGTTTGAAGTGTATCGGTGTTTCAGGAATGGATAAAATACCCATCAACCAAACACGTGATCCGGGGTTCGATTCCTGCCTAACACACTTATATACCTCACCATCTTCGGAAAAATAGGACAGTTTCGCATGAAGTTAGCGAATGCCTCCGCCTCCAGAAAAACAAAACGCAAGAGTTACAGAAACTTCACAGTTTCCGCTTGAAGCCACTCGGAACGCAGAGAAATAAGAAAAATGAAGAATTTGTGGATTTTAATAAAAATTAGCGCATATGTTGTATAACAGTAAAAGCCAAGAGACTTGGTAACGAAATGTTTATTTGAAATTTAGTATCTCTATATAGCGAAATTATGTACATCTCATTTGAAGATCGTCATTTACGCAGATCTTCCGTGTTGTGCTACTTCTGTCCTTCCTCCATATTGTGTTTCTTTGGCTTGTTTTGTGTCTCTCATGTTTTGCCTCAACACTGGTTCATATCCTCTCTTCACTATCAAATCTATCTCTCCACTATTTGATATTTGTGTGTTCCGATGAACGTCTTTTAATATAATTTTATTTTATTAAAACGCAGAAACAAACTTGGTACAATATGGCACCAAGAAAGATCCACCACACAATCTTGTGTGAGGGCTGAGATACTGCCCGGGTGCCCCAGATCGAAGCAGGTGGTTTTATTAAGGGACCACCCCCCCTTCGAGCCTTTGACTTGGAGTCTAATCCCCAAGGCAGCGGAAAAGCGTCAGGAACTGCATTCCCATGATTGCCGGTGACCCATATGGGTTCATACGCCATTTGATCCGATTAGATTCTGGAGCCCATGTACCCCATGGTAACTGCTTTTAGTCTAACCGCTTTCCAAACAACCTTCCTGACGTGGTAGGACCTGCAAGGACATGAGTTCCAGCCAGTTTAGCTTGTTGGATCACCGCGGTCGGTATTCAAGCCCGACCACCACCATGGCAAGGTAGCAGTTGTCGGCCGGGCTTTTAATATACTACTGATAAACCTTGTCAGTACCACACGCTACAATATTATTATTATTAAAAAAATGTGACATGATAATAATTTCTCTTTATATATTCATACTTTCTTTTTCAAATTTTCAGCTTCTAATCATTCTTACCAACATCCATTCGCTCTGGGTTATACGGCACCGACCAGTTTATTCGTTTATTTGGCTGAGCCATTGGACTATCACCATTCAGCGTCTGTTTACAATCTAGTATTGATTACCTCAAATGGCTTAGAAATGATAACTACTAAGGTAAATATGACGTAACATATATATATGTATTTATTTTTATGGTAGATATTGTGTGAATAGATTTCAGTCTGGAGATATGTGTGTTGTTATTGTGTATCGCTTTAATGTTATTGTGTTGTTTTTTTACATGGTTGACTGCACATGGCTGTCTGAATAATGTGGAAATTGTTTATTTTTCCTGGTCTGTGTATATATTTCACGCTGTCTGTGTATGTCTATATTACTACTTGAAATTTTACTTTGGGATATCTAATGAGAATAGTTGCTGAGACTGAAAATAGTAACAACTCACCTATTTATGTCTCCGGGTTGTGTTCAGTCATGCGATAAGTTATCACTTAATGATGAATAGGTTCTCAGTTGGTCACATTGATCATAAAACTCTGATTGCTGGTGTAATCATGATAATTTTGATAAATGGATTTATCCTGTTCTCTCCCCCCCAACCCATCACACTCTCCTGTAATCGCTATTCATCTTACTTTCTTTTGGGGGAAATCTCCACCCCTTACCCTTTTCCTCTTTTGTTTACTATTCATTGTGATATTAAATCGACTATATCTTCTACTCACGTAGGTATATTATTATGCTGCTCTGCTATTACTACTGAATTACTGTCAAGCAAATGATTAAGCATAGAATTTTGTTTGTTTGCTTGCCCAGAATAATCCTCCTTACAATTGAAAAAGAGCTATAGAGAGAATAAGGAGGATAAAATAACTCATGAGTTTTAAAAATAAAGCCTAGGAAATTGTCAGTTGCCAAACCTAGGCTTTTTCGACTCGGGAGAGAGTGGATACTGATCGCTTCAATAGTATCCCCCCTCCTCCCCCTCTTGCACCACTTAGAAGACACAATAACAAACAGCGGAAGGAGTATTTATTCGTCTAGGAAAGGATATTGTTGACTATATGCTCTGCTAACGGCCTTTGTGCGTCGGTGCCACAGCGGCTAGGACTCTCACCGGCCATGTACATGGTCCGGGGTTCGATCCCCTGCCTACGCACACCTGATATTAATGGTCGGCCTGCAAAGTTTGGGCTACCGATATCACATGCTGAAAATTCCATACTTGTACCAAAAATACGGTGTAGAATCAAGCTGTAATCAAATATATATATATATAACCTCAATCAGTCATGGATCGTCCATAAAATCGGTTCCCGACAGCTGAGTAGTCTACTACCTCACCTTGTAACTTGAAGGTCCTGAACTATAGAAGAGTCTCAAACTACTAGGACGAATTAGCTATCCAGCACTTTGTGCTGGTTTTCAATGGTAGTTCTCTAACTCACATCCATCTATGATCAAACAATGTAAAAGATTAGTGGTGTTCAGAAATCCTATGACCATGAAAAAGTGCGTCCAGCATTCCAGGATTCGATCCCCGGCCACCGATGCACTCCCTTACCTTGCTAAACCAGTAATAAGACTGGTAAAGATGGAAGGTTAGGCATGTGGCTAGCAACCCCATCCCGTAAATAGTAAACACCAATGCTACTGAAACTTCAAGTCTCTAGCTTGAATCTCTATGTTCCTTTGGGGAACTTGAAGGAATTTTTTAAAAATGACCGTAAGATTATGTGAATATATCTGCATCGCTTTTCAAGCGTTTTTGGAGTTATTGTTCCATCCAGATAATGTTGACTTCCATGTTTCAACCTGAGCATTGTTAAAGTTTCAGTGGAAAGATCTTTTTTCGTCTCCAACTATCTGACATCAATCAAGATTACACCATGATCTAAAGTAGTCTATTTAGTTTTAGCGGCCAACGCACACATTGCAGACTTGACTCATAACATTCAGTCAACATTGGACAACTTCTGATTCTTCAAGTTACAACGGGTTTATGTGATTCATATCAGATTTCTTCATAAAAGAGAAATCTATAAGCACAATCGAATTCCTCATATATATATATATATATATATATATATATATATCTCAGTGCCTTTTGCCTATTATGGAATATTTTTCTGTCTTTCATTCAATTATTTGGTTGTGGTTTCTTTTGATGTGTATTTATATGCCTTTTGACTGGATTGACAACAATAAATACACAAGACTTCAAAGATTTGTAAGAAATCACGGAGAAGTACATTTTTACTGATTTTATCTGATTCTGCCTAACTATTATTGTTATTATTCCCTTGGATTCTGATTGAAAAACATTAGGCTTCAGTAGTAGCAAATTATCTCTTCACTCTGTTGTCTGCAGTCGCACTTCTAGCCTACTCCAAGATTACCCATAAGTATTCATCTCCTCCTCCTCCGCCGCCGCATCAAACGATCTCTTTCATGCTACTGTCTGTCTGTTTTTGAAATAGAACTTTGCACATATGTGCGACAGTTCAAGTCGCAGACAGTGCCATCAGACTGGGGTAAGTCACTTATTATACCGATATTCAAGAAGGGAAACAAGTCCTCGTGTGATAATCATAGGGGGATCAGCCTAACGACGATAGTCTCTAAAATCCTAGGCTCAGTAATCATGCATAGACTAAGCAGAACTCGGGAGGAACAGACGAGGGAAAATCAAGCAGGCTTTAGACCAGGTAGAGGGTGCATAGATCATATCTTCACTCTTCGACAGATTCTAGAACATAGACACACTTTTCGGCGTCCAACAATTGTCATATTTCTTGACTTGAAGGCGGCCTTCGACTCCGTGGATCGAAAGGTACTATGGCAATGTCTGACTGTGAAGGGAGTGCCAAGAAAGTACATTGCACTAATCAAGGCACTCTATTCAAACTCACGTAGTCGTGTAAGGGCTTATGGGGAATTGTCATCTGAATTGATAACAACCAGTGGTGTCCGACAGGGATGTCCACTTTCCCCATTTCTGTTTAACTTCATCATAGATATGCTGATTGAAGTATCCTTAACTGAATGTAACGACTTAGGAATCGACTTGTTACCAGGGAATAAACATATGGACTTAGAATATGCAGATGACATAGTCCTGTTAGGGGAGGATGCTGACAAAATGCAAAGTCTTCTGAACACCTTGAGCAGCAATCTTCGTATGTTTGGCATGCGATTCGCCCCTACAAAATGTAAGATGCTGCTACAGGACTGGACTACGTCAACTCCTAACTTAGTGATAGGGAGTGAAGTGATAGAACATGTTGACCACTTCACCTATTTGGGAAGTTGTATTAGCACCAACGGACTGATTGGCGATGAAATCTCAGCACGGATCCGAAAAGCTCGAGCTGCTTTCGCCAACTTACACCATCTCTGGCGTAGGCGTGACATCCGGTTATCAACCAAGGGACGTGTGTACTGCTCAGAAGTTCGCTCCGTCCTTGTCTATGGCTCTGAAACATGGTCAATACGCGTTGAAGACATGAAAAGGTTGACTGCTTTCGATCATAGATGTCTGCGATCTCTTTCTCACGTTAGGTGGTATAATAAGGTAAGTAATGTTGACATTAGGCATAGAGTGTTGGGCAAAGAGGGAAGATCAATCGACGAGGCTATAAAGTTACATAGATTGAGATGGCTAGGTCAGGTGCTGCGCATGCCTAACCATCGCCCCCCTCCCCGACGGGCATTACTAGCTGATATAGGTGCAGGTTGGAAAAGAGTAAGTGGTGGCCAAACAAAAACATGGCCTCATCAATCCATGAAATCCTTGACAGTTAAACTGAGTCAGTCAGGTAGGGAGATGCAGACTTCCCTATTACACCGACCACTTAACACGGGAGATAGAACGCAGGCACCTATGATCAAAGATAACTAATCTTTTCATGTCTTCCACTCTCAATGACCAGGTCTCGCTCCCAACCATAAAGGACGACGGGGCGGACTGATGAGCAGTACACCCACCCTTTGGTCGATAGCCAGTCTGATATCACGTCTACGCCAGAGACGGCGTGAACTGGCGTATGCAAAACTAACCCTCTGTATCCGTATCCAGCTGAGATTTCGTCAGAGATCAACCCGTTGGCCCTGGCTGATCGTACTGCCCTCATTCGGCTCCCACTTGAATTTCGCATCATTTAACTATTAGGTGTTCTTTCGTTTTCGTTTTGATATTGGATGCTTATTATTTCGGATGGTCAACTTTCAACGCATCAGTCACTGGACAGTATTATCGGCTGCTCATGCACACGCACAAACAGCACATCATAAGTATGTCTACTTGCCAATCCCCAATGAATATACACATACTGGTTAACGTCATTATTATAGCACTAAACGACACTTGAGTCTACTTTTCTCCTTCTGAATTGATGATTTGTTTTCATCACAAGTGTGTGTGTGTTAATCTTAAATTGAATCTAATCTGTTGTTATTCAAGAGTTGTTAACTGTGATGAATACTTCAATTGGCCTGTTGATTGTTCTCTTCTTTGCTTCTGTTATTCACCTCGAAAAGCTCTCATATTTATATATATATATATATACATAATAATAACAACAATAATGTTGCCTTGGCCTGCCTGATTTGTGTATTAACTGGAATGTAGAAAAATCCAAAATCTGTTTTCTTTTTCTCCTTCTCTCCTTTAGCAAGTGTCTTTTTTTATTTCCTCCCTTTTTGTCAATTCTCATTATCAAAACACAACTCTGACAACAACAAAGATAAACATAATTATAAGAGGAAGGATTCTCTTCTGCTTCTGCTTCTTCTGCTTCCTCTTCAATTCCTTCCTTCAGTCTTATATAGAGATAGTTTGAAAACATAAATTTGTTTTAGTCAACAACAACGACAACAACTAAAGAAAACAATATGTCGAAAACTGATTGGCAATTTTTGTTATTCTACTTATTTGTCACTTTCATCATCTCTCCAATTTTTGGTTGAATTCAGCGTAGATGCTCGCTCACGCTTATCTATAAACTTTCTGTTGAGAACAGTTAAATGGCTAAAAGGTTAAACTCCTCTTAAGAATAATCATTTTCAATATATGTAGTAATGGTTAATCATAGATAGCTGTAGGTGTGATTGTGATGTGTTAAAGAAACGACTTTGTGAAAGCGTTGGAATTCGTTACCCATTGGATACCGTCCCAGTGTCTGATGAATGGTCTACAAGCTTCCCTTGTAACTGGAAGACCCTGGGTTCTAAACCTGATGAGTAATGGGTACTACCAAAGAGTCCGAAACTAGGATTAATAAGCTGTCCAGTACGGCGTGCTGGTTTTCATTTGTGGTTCTCTAACTGATATCACAGAGTTCACTCCTTTCAAGTCTCACTTTCATTTGTTTTTTCAAATCAATGGATAACATAGTTTTAGAGTAGATATGTACATAGATGTTTTACTTGATGGAGTCTACAGCTTAGTGATTTCGGTGATTGAATACGGTAGAAGTGTTGCTTGAAGTGATATACATCGGTGATTCAGTTGTAGGTATGCTTGGTGGCACAGTGGTTAGGACTCTCGCCGATCATGCACATGGTCCGGGGTTTGAGCCCACGCCGGCGCCCACCTGATATCTATGGTCGGCCTGCGAATTTTGGGCTACCGATATCCACGCTGAAAATTCCACACTTGTACCAAAAAACAGGGTGGAATCAAGCTGTAATCAAAAAAAAAAAATCAATCATGCTCCATGTGATGTAGGCTCGATTCCGGACACATTGACACATTCTTAAACATTGGCAAGTTTACTTGACCATTGAAAACCTGGGGATGAAGGAAGATTTGGCGTGAGGCCTGGCAACCGAACTTCGAAACTGCAGAAACTCCAGAACCTATGTTCCACTAGAAACTCAAAGGAATGAATAAAGGTGATGTTCGAACACAACTGTAGAATGTCTCATGGCTGTGTAGCATGGTCGGTCAGTTTATTATCTACATTCAAAATTCTTATTCGTTTCAACCTCTGACTAGTTATTCCTTAGACAGGAATTCATTCCCCAGCACTACCACTGTAGTTTTTCAACTTTTCAAAAGTACGCAGCCATGACTCCACCAGGGCTATCGGATTCTATCCCAGTAGCTGAATGGTCTAACAGGTTGGCCTCGCAATCCGAAGGTCCTAGGTTCAACCCTCAGCAGTGGATGTGGTCACAGGTGCATAACTCTGAAGAGTCCTTAAAGGGGACGAAACAGCTGTCCAGTACTCCCTGGCTTTAATTGGTCTTCTCTGACTGAAATGAGTTCATGATCCCTGCAAACTAACTTCTGAAAATATTACCGTATTCCCTGAATCTTGCAAAGCAATAGTCTCCTGTTACCTTCGCTTATCACATCCACACAGAACTTAAACAATACGTTTTTTTTTCAGAACTATAGGCTAAACTATTTTTGTTAATACTTTCTTTCTTTCTTCCTTTCTTTCTTACTAGATTCAAATCAATGTAAAGTTGACGACTATTCAATCCAGTCCAAAATTTCTTACCGGCTTAATAACTTCAAAATCTACTGATGCAATTGCTCTATCGGTAACAGATGATATGTTGTCTCAGCAAGAGAAAAATGCTTCAAACAGTCAGTATTATTTTCAGCATATAATTATTCATGTAAATCTATCTGAGTCTACAATGACTGGTAGTCTTGTTTGTCAGCTTTATGTGAATGAAACGCATTCAGGTGCTAAGCAGAAATTGCATTACTCGATGATGTCTGTTGAACAAAGTCAAACACGAAGTTTATTCACTTTGAATGAATACACAGGTCAGTTTTGCTTCTTTTTTTTTTTTTTTTTAAAATCTGTTTTCACTTTGGAAAATTTGTCGGTACTTCCTAAGAGTTGTTGATTGCAGTTGCTGACGGCAGTTACCGTATCCCTTTCGTATATCATTTTTAAAGGGTGGAAGTCTGTTTAAATCATTGGGCTATCTAAGTTTTCATAAAGTATAATGCGCTAAAATCACGAGTTGGTAGAAGTTAGCACTCATGAGCCAATGGATTGGCTCTCAGCGGTTGAGTGCTCCATGAGGTTGCCTTGTAACCTGAAGGTTCTGGGTTTAAACTCCATCAGTAAATGGGTTCTGATGAGGAGTTCCGAACTAGGACAAAACAGTTTTCCATTATTCCCTGCTGATTTTTAATGGTAATTTTTTAATTAACATCAGTCTGTTATCAGACTAGAGTATAATGCATCAAATTTACTCACAACTATACTTGTTTTGACCCACCACTGTTTACGTCCTTGAAGAACAATCTGTACTCACATGCGTGTTTCAATGACTTGCAACACACCGTTTGGTCTGTTTTGGGGGATGAATACGTTGGAAGTCGGACGGAGTATTTCTAAGTAGTAATAATAATAACAACTCTATTCTGAAAAATGCATTCATAGATATTGTTGTAGGATATTCAGCATGTTCTCTACTACAAGGTGTTTACTTACTCCGGTTGCAGAATCTTCGAGTGAACTAACCATCGGTTATAACAAATCTTATCTGAAGCAATAAATAACCCTCTATGCTTTTTCTCCTTGTTTATTCAAAAAGAAAATTCCATGGCCGTAGCCTGAATCCTTTTTCAAAAAAGGTGTGTGTACAAACATTGTGATTTAGAGATGTAATTAGTTATTAGATGGTTGGTGGCAATCGGAAGACGAAGCCTTGAACCCCTAGATTCGGTAACAAGTTTCCGAATCTCAGAAGGAATATGCAGATTCACTTCGGTGACTGGTGAATGCCAACAAGCGCGAAACCTGTGTCCAAGACTGGGCTCTCTTCCGATTGCCTCCAATCATCTAATAATATCAATTCACAGTGTACCGTAATGGATGGCGAGCCACCTAGTATGGTGGGCACATTGCAGGCTCTTGACTGGGAGAATTCATTCTGCATCAGACGCATGACTGGTTACTAAATGGTGTCAAACTAAAGTACCTGATTGTATAATTAGTTGATATGATACATCTTGACGGATAGAAAATTAGGTGTGATTGGTAAGTTGTCCTGTAGTGATTTGAGCAGGCCGTCGTGGGATCGAATAAAATTCTGTCGAATGATATAATCATAGATCTTCAAGGGGTTAGTTTGTTTGAGATTTGATTTATTTTTCACGTTTACTGAAGGATTAATGCTACTTAGAAGACCGCCATTGGAAACCAGTAGGGAGTACTGGACAGTTGTTTCCCCCATGTTTGCGGCTCTTCAGCAGTACCCATCCACTAGAGTGGGTTCAAAGTCAAGACCTCCTAGTTTCTAGCCTATTCAACAGCCATTATAGATTACTGTTTCAGTAGAAGATTTCCTCTATAATGAGTGGGTATAATCAAGCTGAAAATTCTTTACTCTATATACATAAAAATGTTGTTTAGGATAAAACTACTATTATTATCTGTATTATTATTTAGAATTATTTTGTTGTTTTTTTATTCACTTTCCTCCATGGTTTATATAGGATACTTTTTGACATATCTATTACAAATTCTTTCTTGTCAATATGTCTAGTGAATGCTTGTCTGCATAAGGTATGTGTGGGGGGTGGGGGTATGTGTGTGTGTGTGTGTAGAGTGTAGAATGTATGTTTCCTAAGTTTGATGGGAAGCAATTTTGTTTTTTTTATTCTATTCAGAAGAGGAGTTTATTCAACCTTCTTCTGAAATGAAATCTATTCACACACTCACACACACACACACACACAATGATGACTGACTTGATGATTAAATCCGATTTTCTTGTACTGTTCGTTATATATTTATATACATAACTATTTATTTACTTATTTATTCGTGTTTATTTTTGTTTACTTGTGTTGTTCACCTGCCCTGCCCTGCACCGTTTACCCCACACCCCCCCACTCTTTTTATGCATTTCATTGCGCACGAGTCATCCTCTGGCTGGATGGAAAACAGAAACAAATGAAAACGTGTTGTCTGTTTGACTTTTCAGCATCCTTATTTGTTGTTTTTTTTTATCGGTTGAAGTTTCACTCTATTACCCCCCCCCCGTATAAAAAACCTTTCAATAGGAATAATAATAATAAATAAATAAATAATAATAATCATTTTCATTATGGCTATTATTACTATTATTATCATCCTTCTTATTGTTGGCATTATCCTGCTACTCTTCTTCCAGTGTTGTTATGCCTGACATCAAGTAGCTGCAGTGGTATGTCATACTACTACTACTACTACTTATAATAATAATAAGAGTAGTAGTCATAGCCTGTATCTTCCAGTTCATGTATGTATGTGTACGTGTGTGTGTGTGTGTGCGTTCATTATGGAGAGATTTCGCCTAATGAGTCAATCTCTATTCGGTTAGCCTTTTTGTTATTCACAATTACAGTTACACACTGTCTGTTGTCATTCAGACAGATGTTGGTAACTAGTGGCAGTGTGTATTCATATACAATATGATAGGAATACTAATTGTAAGTTATTGGTTCTATACGGCTATAGTCATCTTGTGTGCATAGTTCATCAATAGGACTGTGAAGACAGGTGAAATAATTAATCACCAATAAAGTGTGCGTTTGTGTGTACGTGTGTGTGAGTGTGCGATCTAATGACTAATCTTCAACTTTGTAAACTTTCTAGAAGCTTTATCTTTGATTCTAACTTGGTGGCAGTTCACAAAATGGTTGTGAATGCTCGTGGCAACCATGTCTCATACGGTCACGGGTTCGATTCCTGGGGGTCAACAGAAGCAGCACCCCTTTACTGAAACTTCAAAGCCTAGGCGTGAAGCCTTCGTATATTCCACTGGGAATGCAAAGACATGAAGTTCAACAATTTACTCTGTGTTCAAACATCTTATAAGTTAATGATGTATTAAACTTGCTTTATCCCTATGTGATTTTGATTTTAGCCCCTTTTCTTACAGCATACTCCTGAAGAACTTAACTAATCCTATTTCATATTGAAGTTGAATAGTTTTCTAAGTCATATTTTCAGCGATATCATTCTCAAGCTGTGTGTACTGCTCAGCAGTTCTCTCTGCCTTCCCTTATAGCTGTGAAATATGGCCATTGAAAGTGGAAGATACAAAAGGGCTAGCTATCTTTGATCATAGGTGTCTGAGTTCTATCTCCCGTGTTAAGCAGTATAAGCCATATTGAGGTTAGGCTACGGTCGAGTGTTAGGTAATGAGGGGGAATCAATCGACGCGGTTGTGAAGCAGCTGCGTCGATTGAGATGGTTAGGAAATGTGTTATGCATGCATGTCTAGCCATCGCCTTCCTCGACAACAGGTAATGTTAGCCACTGACATAGGATCAGACTAGGCTTCGTGCCGATTACCTCCAACCATCTAATATCATCAAATCAATGTACACCGTGATAGCGAGCTACTTAGGATGGTGGCCACATTGCAAACCCGACTGACAGAATTCAGTCTGCGCCAAAGATAGGACTAGACACATCACACTAGTTACTAGTGTCCAATCAATGAGTAACATTATTTGTATTATTATCCCGAATAGAACATAGGGCTTCAAGCTTCACCTTTGATGTGTTTTTTCTTGCTGGTCCATGTTGCTAGCCTCACAGCCAACCTACCCTCCTATTTCTGGCTAAGCAGGGCTTAGAAGTACATCGGTCAGATAACGAACCCGGGCCACTTTTGGCCTGATTACCGACTGCTCTACTCTACTCTACTGAACCACTGACGCAACAAAATGGTTCCTTGTGATAGGGATTTCCATTATCTTCAAGTTATTGAAATAATGCCGAAGCGATCTTTATCACATGCTGTATAAACCTTGTGAAGTGCATTTGTATTTGTGTGTGTGTGTGTGTTTACTATAAAGCCAGAAAGTGATAAGTTGTCTTGTTAACACGTTCTAAATATAATACAACCTTCCAGATTTAATTATGACACATTATTGTGTCAATTTCCACTTGATGTTTTTCTCTGATGAATATCTTCATGCTTTTTTTTGATGTAGATAACTCTGGCATCATTATGGGTGTTGATTGATGTACATAATTTTTTTCAAATTATTATCTATCTATCTATCTATCTATCTATCTATCTATCTATATATATATATATATATATATATATATATATATATATATATATATATATATATATTCCTTTAATTGTTCTTTGTTATATTTTGACATTATGCTTTTTCGATCACTGCATGAAAAGCTCAACAAAACCATGTAAAGAACAGTATTTGTTGAAAACTTCAGTTACAATGGTGAAAAATTATGATAATTGTATCTAAGTATTCCTGAATTGATTTTGATGGATAGAACTTCTACTTCTTCTTCTTCTTCTTTACTCTTTTATGATTTAAAGGTGAAGTCATTTTCTCGATTTTGTTTTATCTACACATGATGCACATTAAATTCTTATATTTCCTATCTCGGTGTTTGTTACAGCCCTGTAATAACCGTTTTTATGCCTGCAATGATGTGACCTTTGTACCTTGTCAATGTATTTTTTAGAAAAGACATTATCCAATCATTGATGGGCTGCTTAAAACTTGGGCTATGAAAATCTTCCATCTCTCTATTACATTTGCTTTCTCTCGTTCGGTTGGTTTTAATCGATTAAGATATGACCTCTAATAATGGTATTATCTAATTTTGTGTGTATTTAAAATGTTTACAAGCTTCTGATTCGCAAGTTTCTGCTAAACTTGAGGAAAGGCCTAATTGTGGGTATGGCAACGTGTTCCTATGCAACATGAGATAATTGTACTTCAGTTATGTCCTTGGGTCTCGAAATGTAATTCTGAACATCTTTTAATTGTCTTTCAACTAGATATTGTGGATTTCTCGAAGGAGACAAAGTAGATATATCATAATGGAATGGTTTGTACTTCAGCTCAGAGACCATTGTGTTACAGGACGATATGCTGTGAATTAATATTTTACTTGAAGATATTGTACGAGGAGAGTAAATGTCATGCAATATACTCCTGTGAAAATTTTGTACATTTCCAAAATACTGTCTAGAATGAAGATGTTATTATTTCTATTAATCATGAAAGGGATAGTAGGGATTTATATATATATCAGTTGTCTTTTACTTATAATCCCATTGGGTTATCCGTGATAAAACATAGGACTTCAGCAGGCACATCTGCATTTTACCCTGTTCCCTGGAGCTTTTTCTAGCTGGCTCTACGATTGCCCATAAGCTTTTATTTCCTCTTTCGGGTTGTTCCACTCGAGGGCCTGCAATGCCCGCGATGTCACTCCAATGGTCTCCTTCTCTTTTACTTAGCGAATAATACTTTTAGAAAAAGAACAGTTTTGATGACGTCACTGCCGACTGTACTTAGCTTTCAGCATCATGTGAAATTTTATGCAAAATGATCTCTTGTTCAAACAGCTATAAATTAAAGGGTAAATAGCATGAAGGCCTGTAGTCACATTTAAGGTTAAATTGTATCTCACAAGATTTCTTCAAAATATGCTCGAATGGCGATAATGTTACTTTTGAGGTATGAATTCCTCTGTGTGTCAAACAACGAAATGTTCACGGTCGCTATTCGTGTATTCGTATTATTGTGAACTGATCAGGAAGCTTGTGTGTGTGTGTGTATGTGTTATTTAATCAAGTGGAAGAACATCCGCTTGAAATAGATCTTAGTAGTAACCGTGATTACTTTTTTTCCTCTCCCCCTGGGTAACTGATTACTTGTTACCGTCTCATTCCGTTTCGTTGTTACGCTTTTCGACTTTGGTGGTGTTTATTGTAAACCAACCACAATGTGGTTGTATAGGATGCTGACTGATTACGCGTATGGTGGATATCTAGATGAAAACGTCTGATAAATTTAAATATTGATTTACGTAAATTATACATCTGTGCTTTTTATACCAGCAAACAAAAAAAGACGTCAGCGGGTGTACACGAAAAACTGCAGCAAACTTAAATTTGCTTCATTCATATTTGGCGATTTTACTTTTTTTCTCTCTTTCCCTGTTCAACTCATATGGCGGGAAATGCTCAAAATATTGAGGTGTTTTTGATAAGAAATATAACAATAAGTCGTGACCATTAGGGTGCAGCAGGTCGAGTGTGAGGACAAATACTCGCCGAAGACATTGGCTGGGGTCGCGCTATGTCGTGAATAGGCAGCAGTTAGAATTCAAGGACCATTGGATCGTGTCCCAGTGGCTCAATGGTCAACGAGCTCGCCTTGTAACCGGAAGGTCCTGGGCTCGAACCCCGGGGGTGAATGCGTACTACTAAAGAGTCCCAAACTAGAATGAAACAGCTGTCCAGTACTCCCTGGCAGGTTTTCCAATGGTTCTCTAACTAATGTCAGCTCATGATGAAAATCCTGTAACCAATCAAATCCCTATAAACCAGCACTTGAATAATAATACTTTTGTTTATCGAGGTCCACTAAGGCAAGTACTCATCTGTGACGCTGGCTGGCGGTTGCGCTATATATATCGTGAGTTATCAGAAATTGAAATTCATGAACTGGTCATTGGATCGAGTCCCACCGGGGGAATAGTCTATGGGCTCGCCTGGTAGCTGGTAGGTCCTGGGTTCGAATCCCAATAATTGTGTACTGTTGGAGAGTCTCAACCCAGGGTGAAACAACTGTCTAGTATTTCATGCTGGTTTTCAAATGGCGATTCTCTTACTCTGATGTCAACTCTCAGCTAAACCTGTAACCAATCAGATCCCTGCAAACCAACACTTGATATCGTGTGGTTTAACTGCTGCAACTTTAGGTTCCTGTTACATCCTTAATTCTATCCCTTTTTTCAGTAGTGCTAAAATATCTTTTTTCAAGGTAGTCGCCGCTGATGCGTTTTGCATATTGACACATAAACTTATCAGGTATCTTGTAGTGTCGAAAAGACGATGATGTGAACAGAAGTTGTTGTTTTTTATGAATATAGGTCGTTGTACAATGCGAAGGATATATTTCTTCAATGTCCAGTGATTCTTCCTTTTAATTTCTTGTCTGTTTTTTTTTTACTAAATTCAAGGTGAACTACGCGTCAGTGGACTATTGGATTATGAAACTGTTAAAAAGCATTATCTCTTGATTGCTGTCCGTTATTCCAGTTTACGTTCATATACATCGTATGCAACTATTTATATCAATATATTAGATGCCAATGAATATGCACCACAATTTTTTGGTTTATACATCCCTTCAAAGTTGGAAAGTCATCATATCAATGTATTGGATAATGATTTAGAGTTTCAAAATTTGGGCAGTTTTACATTTTATATATCAGGATTGAATCCTCTGAATAGTTCGGTGGGTTGTGTTACAGCATATGATCCAGATTCTGATGAAAATGGAAAAATCGTGTATAGCATCGTAAAAGGTGAGAATAATAATGCCTTTCTTTGCAGCATACCTATTTTTTGGCAGTAACTATCTCTCCCACTCTCTAAGTACATTGGTGTGTGTGTGTGTGTGTTAGTATACTTTTTTCTTTCGTTTGCCAATATATAATGTGGACCACCGATTCCGAATTATCTTTCGAACCCTAAACAGGAGGTAACACAAATATCCTCCATCCCACGAAGCTACGTCACATGCTGACCAACTCTCCGCTTTTTCCATTCAATCCTGGAGCTAGCGAACAGAACTCGGGTATAGAATACTCTGGAATATCATTTCGTATTACATGTGCAAGCCACTAAATTCGGTGTTCCCAGATGACGACACTCAGTGAATAGGGATCTTTATCGTGCCCAAATACATACTTATGGCCGTCAGAATTACTCACGTGATGATGCCATCTATGGAGACAGAGATGATTGAATACTGAGAGTTGATGTACTTCCTCAGCTCGGAGAGGCCAGATTTCACAGGCGTAGAGCCAGACTGCGCACACCGAAACATCGTAAACCCGACTCTTGACATTCAGGCTGATATCCCGACGACTCCAGTGGTCGCCAAAATTGGCATATGTCACCCTTGCTTCCACTGTATGGTTGGAGATCTCGTCCATCACACCTCCCCCAGCACTCGCCCAAACTACCTAGATTACTGAACTTGTTGACAACTTCAAGTGGTTCATCTGGTTGTTAGATAACTATTCTTCCATTGTTTTATATCATTATTATTCTGTATCGAATAAATAGGTACTTTGTAAACTAGTGATAAGTCTCTGAAAATGACATTTAAATCGACTGACTGAGTTTCTGTGTAAAATTTTGCACGGGAGGAAAAAAGAACAGCAACATGGAAACGCATTTGGGTTTAATGGATATGGAAGGTTACAAAGAGTGGGTGGATCTGCAGGCATATCACCGGTAGTCTCAAGCTATTGTTCCTTATTATCTCGAAGTTCCCGACTAGCCAATCTACATTCCTCTTAAGTGGTTAGCTTAAATCAACCGCCGAAGACTTCGTGGATTGATCTCACATTTCGGTCTAATGATTTCTAACTCTCTTCCAACCTAATCATATGTCAGCTGACATCTGTCATTGAGGAACGCGATGGCTCGGTATGCATAACACCACATCCTAGCTATTTAAATCGATGTAGTATCACAACCTTGTCGATTGACTTTCCGTTCTCATCTCACACTCTACGCCTAAATTCAGTATTGCTTACCATAATTATACTGACTAACACGAGAGATAGAACGTAAACACATATGGTCGATGACCCCTATATTCTTCATATCTTCTACTTTCTACTGTCACACCTCACAGGGAACTGCTGCACATTACACGTATCCTTAAATCGATAGTAGGATGTCACACCTCCTCTAGAGAATATCATACAAGTCTTTTATATCCGCGCTAAGATTTGGTCACCACACTTAACCATTTCTCTGCCTACCCTCAAACTTGGATTCCTCTACAGAACAGTTCTACAACTTTATGAGGAACTGATAATAAGTTGTCGTTTAATCAGCCTCAATTCTTTTTCAACCTAATTCTTCTACTCAAAGTTCTGCATACATTAAAACTATGGAAATATTTGAATAAAACAAGAACAACAGTGGTTTGTGTAGAATAATATGGTACCATCATTTATTTCGTTGGCTTCTCATCAGCTGCATACAACCTAAATAAATTATGAGGTTTAAGTACAGAAACGTTTTAACATACTTGCAAATTTAACATGTTGTCAGTTGACAGAAAGTTCCACAATTAGTAAACAGTGCTCAGGAAATTGCGCTTATATAGTTTTTACACAGGCAGTTCAAGTCAAAATAAATGTATGCATACAATGGTAAAGGAGTTACATAATAAAGATTAGATGTGCGTTAGATGCATAGTGACTAATAAGTTAGGTAAAAATGTACTGAGTTGAACTCAAATCATAGAAACAAGAGACAAGCAAAATTACAGATTATAAAAGCGGGGTCAGGTTAAAGACAAAGATTACGTAATCAGATGAGGGAATAAAGACATCCAGTTACCAGGGCAAGGAAAGACTAATAACTGCTCCTTTCTGAACACATAAATCTGGTTTCAAGAGTTTGATAGAAATTGCTTCGACAAACTTGAGGAGAATCGAGCTCCTTTGTTTATTGATAATTTTAAAAGATTTCGCAATTTCCACCTTATGACCCGTATCGAAGAGATTTCTGGTAATAGCGCTACTATAAGAGTTTGTTCCCTTGAGACGTAGGTTTTTCGGCACATGTTCAGAAAATCGGAGGTGTGCCCTTCTTTCTGTTCTCCCAATGTAACTGCTTTTGCAGACACAAGTAAATTTGTATACACAGTTGGAGTTAACATGAGAAGGGTATCTATCGACTTTTCACTGCACCAAAGAGCATGTTGTTCGATGGACGGGGAACCAACTTAGCTGCAGGATAGGCTCTGGCTAGTGACATACTTAGTCTTCTGTTGATCATTGCTGCAATGTTTTCACCTTTGAAATCTAGTTGAATGAAGACAGTCTTTTTTTCAACTGTGATTTGTTTGGTATTTGAGCCTTCACATCTTCCATATTTGTTAATGAATCTTTGAGGATAACCGTTGTTTTTCAGCACCTTTTCGAGAATCGTAAATTCTTCCTCTAGCTTCTCTACAACAAAGGCTAAACATTTCTAAAATTTCTAAATGACCGCACAATATATATATATATATATATATATTGTGCGGTCATTTCTGACAGTTTGTGGTAACCCGATGATTCACAAACAATCTAGGTCAGTCAGTAAATGCAGGATGACCTCTATTAACAGTTAGTTAGCATGCATCATATACCTTTTAAGCTATAATAAGTTTGCTTGTTTATATGAATAACATTTTTTTGTTGATTTATTAACCGGGCTTATCAAAACAATTCATTCTCTTATGCATATGTAGTATATAACATTTTGCCTGAATAAATAAGGAATATTTACATCAATTCTGCACGTAACTAACTAACTAATTCTTTCTTTCTTTCTATCTTTCTTACAGGTGATACTTCTGATTTCTTCGCTATTGAACCACTGAATGGATGTATAATACTAGCCAAATCACTTCTTCCCAATTATGTCTATTCAACAACCGGTGGAGAGTTTATCTCCGGGCTTAGCTCCAAACTATTCGTTCGAACTCATCGTCTGATTGTTTCTGCAAGTGATCAAGGCACGCCTGTATCGAAAACCAATCATACACAAGTAAATATTCATATTGTCCCTGGTCCAGGTGGTATTGATGCCCCAGCGCCTCGTTTCGCCTCAGATAGTGTACTCCATTTGTCCATATATGAAAATGTTCCGCCTTATACAGTGTTAGCACCAATAATGCGTCAACTTACTCCTGATTCTGCTATTCCTGGTTTTGTTGCATTTCGACTTGTCAGAGGTGAAGCAATAAATGTTGTGCCGGATTCTTTAGCGAATTCAAATATTTCTATGGATTTATTTCATGTCACCATTGATACAGGTTTGTTAATGACGCTAGTCAGACTAGATCGAGAAAGACATGGGGAATTTCATCGTCTTGTTGTTGAAGTTATCGGTACTGGTGGTGGTACGCGGAATATGTTCTACGATCGTTTAACTATTCAAGTAAGATTTTGATCTCATTATGTGAATTCTCGTGTTGTTGTATTTTTTTTTATTATAGCTTGATTCTACACAGTATTTTTGGTACAATTATGGAATTTTCAGCATGTGATATCGGTAGCCCAGATTCAAGGGGTCGACTATTGATATCAGGTGTTCGTCGAACCCCGGACCATGTGCTTGGCCGGCTAGAGTCTTAACCGCTGCGCCACCAACGCTTTTTAGAAAAATCGTTGATTTTACTCAACACACTTATAACATTCCTAATACAAAATCGATCTTTCTTTTGACTGCATACTGGTTTTGTTGTAGTCACTACTCTTTATATACTACAGTAGATTGAGTATACATTTCAGTTGTTTTCAAGATTTCCGCCTTCTGTAAATGCTCAAGCCTCGTAGGTTAAAGTTAGGGTGAGTGGGTGGGTGGTGGATTAAACCAAAATGTGTCATCATTTCATGAAGTCTTTGATAGTTGAACTGAGCCAGCCAGTCACGTAGGAAGGTGTAGACTGTCTGGTAAGGGTCCTCGAGATGATAAGAACCAGTAGTTGGAGACAGTTGGTGGAACGGCTAAAAATCGTTCCCAAAGGCACAGACGTATTGAGTTTTTGTGACCTCCTACATCCACTAAACCCTCATATTTTTACATGTTACTATTCTCTCTTCCTTCCGTGCTGTCTTTATGTGGTATACAAAGCGTAGCAGATTGAACTGCTGTATTTCTTTATTTAAAGTCAGTGAGTTAGTTACTCAAAGTTTTCATAATTGTATGCATACTGAAAGTATTTAATTTGATGGATAGATTGTTTCAATGGAAATGTATTCTCGTCTCTCTCTCTCTCCGAAGATATGTCGTCACAATTTTTCTTTCTTACTTGTGTCCAGGTTTTTTTCCCGTTCCCAGTGGGACACAGGGCTTCAAGCTAAAGGCTTGAAGTTTCTGTAGCAGTGGTGATTATTTTTACAGGATGGGGTTGCTAGCCTCATGCCCAACCTTCCCTCTTTACCATTGTTTTACTGGCTTAGCGAGTAGGTAAAGGAGTGCGTCGGTGGCCGGGGATCGAACTCCGGACGACGTGAAGCGTGGTCGGCGAGCACTCTACCTCTGTGTCACCGATGCCTGTGTCCAGGTTACGCTTTTTAAATTTTCTGTAGTTTCACTTCTCTTTATTATGTATCCCATTAATGTATATGACTGGTAAGCATACTTCAAGTTAGATGATGGATTGATATCAGTTAGAGAACCATTAGAAACTAGCTGTTTAGTTCCAGTTTGGGACTCTTTGCTAGTACTCACCCATTTCCAGGGTTCGAACCCGGCAATTTCTGGTTACAAGGTGAAAACTCGTAGACTATTCAGCCATTGTGACACCCAACCTAATTCCCTGGCCTATGAGTTCCAACATCTGACAATTCGTGATTTTAGCGCAACTGGCACCAGCCAATGTCATCGGCGAGTGCTTGTCCTCACACAACCTGACGCCTCATTAGAACTCCAGGCAGCTTTCTGCGGTTCTGTCTTTTTTTATTCCTTCACGTTTCCAGTGGGACATAGGGCTTCAAGCTAGAGGCTTGAAGTTTCTGTAGCAGTGGTGATTATTTTTACAGGATGGGGTTGCTAGCCTCATGCCAAACCTTTCCTTTTTACCAGCTTTTTTTTATATACTAGCTTAGGGAGGTGAAGAAGTGCGTCGGTGGCCGGGGATCGAACCCCGGACCATGTGTATATTTGGCGAGCGTCCTAATCGCTGTGCCACCGACGCGGTTCTGTCTAACTGATATCAATCCGTGATCAAACTTGAAACAAACGTGAAATCTCTAAAAATTTACTCTTGAAAAGTAATCGTATTATTAGTTTATGATATTTTACCTCTTATTTGAATTGAATTGTATATTATTAAATGTACATTTTTTAACTGAATAAAAAAAGGGGGAAAAACAGGAATTACTTTCTATCACTTATTTTTGCATGGAGGATTTAATCATGAGCTGACATCAGTTAGAGAACCACTGGAAAACCTGGAAGTACTGGACAGCTGTTTCGTCGGCCTAGTTAGGGACTCCTCAGCAGTACGCACCCACCGGGATTCGAACCCAGGACCTTCTGGTTACAAGGCGAGCTCGTAGACCATTGAGCCACTGGGACCCGATCCAATGGTCCTTGAATTCTAACTTCTGCCAATTCACGACATAGCGCGACCACTTCGCAATGTCTTCTTCGATGAATTACTGCCTCATCTTCGACCTGCTGTACCCTACTGGTCACGGCTTCCCACTAGAACCCCAAGTTAACTGCCTGAATAGGGCCAGTCACTAGTGAGCATCAGATGAATTTTCAAGTATTCGTTTTTGTAGGGATTTTGTTTTGTTTTCTAACATCTCTCTCGTAATCCTGTCATTTCATAGTCGATTGAAAGTGAAAGTGTTGATATTTTTAACACTATTCGCTGACCTCATACACACACACGCACCCATTACGCTACTAGGATTGATCTGTTCTACTTAATGTCAATGACGGGTGGTAGCTTTTAATAAACGACTGTTGGTGCGTGCGTGCTTATTTTTTGCTATCATCGCGATATGATAATACTTTTTTTCCTCTCTATACACTTCACTCGTGTTTTGTTTTTGTGTGTATATCCCTGTGTATGCGTATGTGTGTGCGTTGGGTTAATATCTTCGTAATAGTATACTAGTCACTATTATTTACTAATGTTAAGTTGATTAGGCAGATAATGATGTCTATGTGGTATAATATGTGCGTAGTTATAATGTCTACGAGGAGATTTTGTTTACTCGTTCAAGTATTTCAAGTGCTGTTGTTGGTGTTGTTCGTGTTATCATTTTTCCTACTTTGCGTTCATCTCTGTGCGTGAGTGCAGTCATGCTTACGTGCATCTATACTGTTTCCGACAGATAATGCATGAATGAATTGTAATCATTCACTGCTTATATATCTGTGCTATATAGTCAGTGAAGGATTCATCGTATCCCTTGGAGAATAGGTTTAGTTTAAGTGAAAGACCTTTTTTTTATTTTGCTAACATTATCTATATCGTTACTTATGTATGTGAATGTGTAAATATCAATCATTGATAATAAATAAAGCAGTTAGCCGACATTTAGCACAAAGATTTATCCAATCCACTCCTACCTCCAGATATTATTTGTAGCATATCACTTTTTCCATGTGTTGACTTGATTAGTAATGCACGTTGTTTTACGTCACTTATAAATATAGCGCCACGTTTAGTTCAATGTACAATGAAAATTGGAATGAAACTATTTTAAATAAACAATGTTTCTATCCTGTTGACTCATTGAACTGAAGTGTTCGGCCTCTGATAACTGAAATATCGGCTCCCTTTGTGGATGCTTCTTTGATATCTGATGATTTAATTTGAAGTAATTTGGTAGGTGGTGAAACTGGCAGTGGAATCCAGTAAAAGATGTACTTTTTCTTGGATGTACGTGAATCATCCCCCAGTGAGAGATGATGGTATTCCGCCTGAGGCTCGTACTCATTGTTTCAAACCTCAAAGCGTTATTCACCAGACCACTTGGTGCAGTAGATCCACTTCTTCTTCCATTGATTCATTGATTGAACTGATATATTCAGTCTCTCTTGACGTGTCGGAGGCTAGCATAGACGTTTCGACGGTATCTAAATGATCAACGAGAATTATTATTATTATTGTTCCCTTGGGTTCCTAGTGGAACATAGGGCTTCAACTGCACGTCTCCACTTGCTTATGTCTTCCTTCTGCTGTACTTTTCACCTGTATCCATGTTAGTCCATACTGTTTCAACCAATTCCTCTTCAAACGATCTCCTCCATGTCACCCTTGCACTGACGTCCCACTCGCCACTTCCTTTTCGGCGTGGTTCCACTCAAGCAATGGCCTCACACGCGCGCGATGTCACTCAGTGGCCTCCTCAACGAGTGTCCAATCCATCTCCACTTTCTCCCGCATCAACGAGAATATCGAAACCGAATTAAAAACAAGTAACTACTGATACCTGCTTCAAAAGAGGTGACTTTCGTGGCGCAAGTGGTCTAGGGGATAATGCTTCTACGTTTGAGGCGATTGGTGCTGGCTGCCAACGAGTCTCAGGGAGGACACTGTCACTCACTGGGGAATGCAGGCCCGTCCAAATGATGAGTCCCATATAGGTAGAAATGTCTATCAAACTGGGGTTCCATTGCTAGTCATCATCTACTAAATTACTTGAAATGTTTCAAAACATTCAGCTAAAATTGAGCAGTTGGTTTTTTGAAAATGTTATTTACCCGTGTTTCCAGTTTACTGAATTAGTTCCCCTTCCAACTAAACTGTTGTGTGAAGACTCATGAAGAGAAAAATATGCGTAGTATTGTTGTATATAGTGAAAGCAGAATTTGACTACTAGGGAATTGAAAACCTCTACAGTATTGTCAGTATGAAAAAGAACATCTGTAGACCTATTTAGGACTCCTTATAATTAAGGCTGGAACAAGGGTGGCATTTAAATCAACTAACCAACTCAGTCAGTTAGAGACTAACTTTGTCGGCTGAAAAACACGATAGATACATTCCAAAAATAATGTAATTTATTTTAATATCATGTAATAATAATAATATTTGTGAGCTCAATTATATAGGTCAAATTAGTAAATTGGGGTTGTTTAAATTATCGGAACATAAAAATTCAGCTAGAACTAGAATGATTGACCCTGATAAATAATCTGGAAAAAAAGTTCGGTTATTGCAGTGCATTCGTTTGCATGTAAGCACACAATAGTGTGAAAAGGTAATATAGCCTGGTGGAGAGAGAGAGGGGGGTTAATTACTGGATCTTTATTCGTTGAATCAATACCAGACGCAACGCCTATACTGGATAATTGCAATAAATGACAAGGGAGAGAGAGAGAGAAAATACCTGAAGTTGTGTGAATACATTGATTATCAGCAATAATAAATTGTGATCGGAACACGATCATCCAGTTCATGGACCAATACT